TTGCCAGTTCACAGTCGATATCGCATAATGCTGTTGAAATATAATTTATTCGACGAATATTATGTTGTACTAGGTCCAGGTAGTTAACGAATAATTAAAATTCATTTGTAAAATGTTATGTTCAATTTGACGTCTTAATTATTTTATTTGCATAAATGAACTGTGATATCGTACGGTAGTTCGTTATTTAACGCTTCCTTTAGATTTAATTAATTTGAAGTATGTTTTTTTAGATATTGTGTAACGTTTTAGGTAGCTTGCTATTGCTACACTAAAAAAAAAATATTTTTATAAACCCATTGCATGGCGTCATTTGCGAATATTATCTCTATAAAAATAAAATCGATCAGTTTGTTCTCATTGCTAATTGATACGTGTTTGAAAAAAAAAACATGCGTGATGTATTAATGATTTTTTTCTTGACACTTAGTACGTCGTGTATAATGGCGCCAACTCTATTGCACATTAAATTTAAATGTGTATAATCCCTAATTTTAAATTAATTGTTACCCTTACGTCAAGTTGGTAGCTTTTATTCCCTCTACATGGAGTTTATATCCGTCACGTTTTTATTCATTTTCTACAAGTCGGGTAATATAAGTACAGTGGGAAAGAACATTTAAATGCTGTTGAAGTTATTTTAATTTTATTACCTTATCTAATAAATGTCTCTCTGAAATTATACTTTTGTAGGTTATACCAAAATAATTATTTAAACATTACGAAAAAGTTATTTATTTATGAGGGCAATCCGATTGAGCTAATTACAACTGCCATGTACATTAAAAATTATTTGAACCGTTGCATGAGATGAAAAACACTATAACACACAGCTTTTTATGTTTTGCCTGCTCTTTACCAAACTTGATGCAAAGGGAATATAAAAGTAAACACCACGACTATCGCAGGACAAAAGTTATTTAAGACTCGACGTAATGTGACTCGAACAATTCTTTTTCATACCTCCATTTTTAGATCGTGAAACTTGTGCAGACGCCATTATCATTAATGATTAATTATAATAATTTATTTTTTGACGTTATATATTTTTAATCATCTTTAATCGTTTCAGCTGTAATTTGAGGTGTGTAAATAAAAAAGAATTAAAACGGAATTGTCTCTCGAGGTATGTAAATGTAAAATTTAGCCATTTAAGTGATCCCTAGCTTCGGAGGCTTGTAAATATTTTTTTTTATCAATAAATTGTAGTTTTGTAGTTGACGAAATGATTATGTCGCCAATATTTTTTGTCGAAAATGAACCTTTTCGTATTGAACTTATAATTTTACTGTGTACCTTATGTTACGTGAAAAGTTACCTCAAAACGATGATAATTGTAATTTTTTGTTTCATGATTTGAATTTGTACATGAATTTGCCACTGCCAAGTTTTTGGTACAACATATATCCAAACAACATTGCAAACAATACATATAAGGTTTTTTTTGTGAGTTGTCAATACTGTCGGGTTAGAAACAGTTTATAGTAAACTTTATGGAACTGTCGCCAGTACATTTTTACATAGTTGGTTACGATGTAGGCAATTCGGTTGATCAGATATCTTCTATGTAAATTGATTTGACAGATAATAATGCCATGTCATCGTTACCTAGTAGATATCTGTAAGTTCCTGTGTACGTAAAAGGTGTGCACCTCACGCACCTACTCTTTCTTAATTCAAGTTTTATAATTTTGAATACACTTATATGTAAAGGCACATCACGATTGTGCACGTAATAAAAGTTACTGTACTCCACCATACAGATATTTTTCATTTATTTTGAATGTAACTTTTTGTACACGTAGGTACCTCAAAGAGGCTTTCATGAGATATATATTTCACTAAAAAAACTGGTGTACGTAAGGTATTTGTAATGAACAACAAGATCCTGAAAAAAAAACATTGAAAATTGCGAAAAACATTTTGAAATTTTTCAACTTGACTATAGCGTAATGTTTCATTAATTGAGGTACTCATGAAAATAGGGAAAAAAGCATTCTACCCATTACTGATCACTACATACCTAGCTAAGTAGATTTAACTTTAAATAAGTTTTACTCTAGTCTCAACGTTTTGTAGTCATAATTTGTTATAACTAAAAATTAAATGTAATCAACAATTAAATTGCATATTGTAAAGTTGTTGTGTCGAATTTAACTATTGGTTCGCAAAAAAGCTTAAAAATATCGCACATTTTGAATATTATGTAGCAAAACACTTTAATTGTTGTGAGAATTAATATTCTACGGAAAATTGTAATGTTTAATGTGTGGATGTGTACGTTGAGGGGCTTCGAATAGTTCGAATCTCTTAGAAGATGCAGAATTTAAATCCATGACACACGTCTAGACTTAATTAGTGAACTACCTTCTTGACTGTACCTTTTAACTTATTGGAAAGAGCTAAGTCTCTAAAAAAGAAACAAAATTATAATGGAGTATTCGCGTCGTTAAAAGAGAGTAATTATGAGTTGATAACGTGGGTACAGCTCGATATGAAATGGCTTGGTATCGAGTCGCATCACCGATATGAATGTTATTCCGTAACGAAGCTCACAAAATATAACTTAAACGTGATGAATGGAGGCAACCATTTATTCTTTGTAGTTCACCAAGTAAGTCTTCATGTGTAACAGAGTGAAAGTGCGACTGTTTATTTGTGCGTATATTGTACCTAGTTACTCTAAGAATAGTGGCATTGCACTTCGTGTTATGTTGCTCTAGCGTGATGTGAGAGTGGCCGGCGGCCTGTTTTATGGAATAAAGGAGCTTGAAATTGTATTTTGTTTTATTCTGCTAATAATATCTGCACTGGCAATCCTAATGGCGCATTTACACAGGATCGCACCGCATGCTGCCTTCGGCAGACTACTTCGCCTTGTCGAAAGCAACGCAGTCGACTCGCCGTCCACATACAGTCCATACAATAAGTAATACAAGTAATATTACTAACGTGATATCACGCGATAGCGTAATGTGATATCACGCATCACTTTGGAAAATTAAGCATTACTCATAACATCACCCATCTCCCGACACGCACAGTACCGAATATATAAAATTTTATTTAATAATTATTGATCTACAAAATAATATAAAGGTTACAATATTGCTTATTATAAGGCTGCAATATTGCTAAAGTAATATTACTATAAAGAGTGATTTTAGTCTATGGTGCGTAATGTAATGTGTGATGGTAATATTACGGATTGATGTTTATGATGGCACATTTCGTTTTTAGTTTGTGTAATGCGAGTGATGTTGTATTAAACGTAATGCAATGTGACGGTAATAGCGCCTAATAGAATATTACAGTAGAACGACGTTTGTGATGGATGTGACTCATATTATTTAATAATTTACCAGATGCTGTAAAAGAATTAAATTGCAGATAATTACTACTGCTACTACAATATTTTTATTTTTTCCTGAGGATTTTTTACTTGGTCATTTAGAATGTAAAATTTAACTAGTGTAGTATGCCAGAAGGTTCTTAATTTTTCGTAACTTTTGTTTTACCCTGTCACATAATATGTAAGTAGCTATTGTTTATAAAACAAATGTCGTAACTTTTCACAACGATCACATTGTTTAAACTCAACTGAAGTTTTTTTACCAAGAAACTAGGGATAATTGTATTTGTCCGAAATAAAGTGTTATTATTTTTAAATCCCAAATAGTTTATTTAGCACCGAAATTAGGCAAAAAAGTAATTCAGAAAAAGCGCAAATCAAATGAAATCAGCCAATTTACTTATGCCTATACCTATACCTTCATTCACAGTTCAAAATTTTGATTAAAATAACGAAAATGTGACTTTAGCGGCAAAAATCTAACTTTTCAGTAACGAAACGTATTTTCGAGTCAAGGGTCAAGTAACACTGGAGTTATGATATTTTAATGCCAAGGTAATGCAGGCCAGTCACACACAGTCGGAATTCCGTTTCAATATTCCATAGTGGAATTCCGTGTCTGAATGTCGAAGGTAGCAAAACCATACAAATCACGGACTTAAGTTATCACACACATACAGTAATATTCCGCTCTAATTTTATTCCGATTCGAAATTCCGTATGGTTGCTTGTGTATTTGGGACTCCTCACAACCGAAAAAAAAAGCAAAAAACCATTCCGAATGCAAGATTCCACAGATTTTGCAGAGTCGTAACACACAGTCGTAAATTTCGTACGTAGGTATTTTCGCTGCGAGAACATCTGGACTCAATACATCACGTCCCTCAACTGAATCTTGTTATTCCGAACGGAAATAAACGTATGTATGTGTGTGATACGTCTACGGAATCTCGAATCGATATTCCGTGTCGGAATTTCGAAGGCGACAAATCCATATAAATCACGGACTTATCACAAACATAGAGTAGTATTCCGCTCGAATTTTTTTCTGAATCGATATTCCGTGTGGGGAAAAAAGCCGTTTCGAATGCGAGTTTTCCATAGATTTTGTAGAGTCCGCAACACACAGTCGTAAATTCCGTACGGAATGCACTCGGTTCAGTAAGCGTCGCGAAACCTAAGCGTGAGGGTGTGTGTATATTTATGCTCCAGCGAGCGTACGTTGATTTATGCGATGTCTGATATCGAACATTTGATTATAGCCGTAGAAGGTTACCCATGCTTATGGGATACTAACCATAAAGATTATCACAACAGAGACTTGAAGGAACTGGCGTGGCAAGCCATCGCTAAAGTTATGTATAGCGACTGGGAAAGTTTCGAAGGTATAAAAAAAACTAGTAGGTACATGTAAGTTGATCTTTTTTTTTATCAAACACAGAACAAGCAGTTTTTTTTTTTATAATACCGAGTGACGGAACGAACAAGTACGCCTGCTGGTAAGCGACACGCCTGTCCATAACAATTGCAGTACCACTAAGAGCTTTAAATCCCAAAGATCTGAGCGGCATTGCCAATGCGCCCGTCACCTGAGACCTGAGTTGACAAGTCCGGTGCGCATTTAATTTCACCAGCACCTTTACCCTTCTAAACCGGAACGCAGTAATGCTCACATTACTGCTTGGCGGCAGGAATAGGTAAAATGGCATTACTTCCCTGGACGAACTTATTCACAAGGAGTTCTACTGCAGCTCTATTTTTAATTATTACCTATGATTACCGACATATTATTATGATTATTCGTTCGTGATATTCGTCTAATACTTGTCCAGCTGGTGAAAGGAAGTATTCCGCAAAATTGTCCCTAATTTGTCGTCCAAGATTGTTTGACCTGGGTGGTGTATTGAATGGCAGTTCATAAAAGTAATGCGACGTATCTTCAAAATTATAACCATCTCTTCTTATAAAATTATCTATCTTATAATTATATATTTTGGTAACCCATACAATGAAATCGGAAGTTATAGTCATAGCAGTATGAAAAATTCGCCATTTGTTTGAAAGTATTCCAAATGAGCTCTCCATCGACTTCTAGCCTTCTAGCCAACGAACATCTGTAGTTAAAAATCCGTTTTTTTTTTTATTTGGGGTATTTTTAGGGAACGGTCCATTACAACTATCATGGTCTTAGGAAATGATTACCTATAGGGAAGGGGCTTCATCGCCCACAAACACGTATGGCATTGAAGGGCCGATGGTACCTGGAAATGCTCGATCGTCGGGTAAATTCAAGCGGTCCTCGGTTATTTTTATTAGCAAAGTCCAGTTTCTAAAGACATTGTTGTCGCTGTCTCTACCGTATGATCCCACGTCGATCGCGGTAAAACAATAGTCAGCGTCGACAATGGCCATTAATATTGAGTGGTATTTTTTATAATTATAATATGTGGAATCAAACGTATATGTTTTCCACCACACGCACCAACGCAATTCGGGAATTTGGTACGTGTGTAAAAATTGTCAGCAATCTCCATCCAACGTTGTTCCGGATAGTTTCACATGTTTCTCGAACTGTTTTAAATATAGTTGAACTACCAATATTAAAGTAAATAAAAAAATAAATCTTCAAAATTATTACCCGTACCAAGGAATCTGAAACAATAATATAATAATATCCATTACATTATTTATCACTATATTATTATTATTATTTGTTCGTTACAGGCAACAGACTTAAGAAAAAGTGGACCTATATCCGAGATTATTATAGGAAAGACCTGCAGAGAGTTAATAACACACCATCAGGATCCGGAGCAAGGCCTGAAAAAAAGCCATACACATATGCACCATTCCTAGATTTTTTGAAACCTACCTTTAAAAGAAAGAAGTAAGTTTTATTTTCCTCGAAAAACGGCATCCGAAACTTCAAATAATGTATTTTTATTTAGTAGATAGGTATTATTAGGTCCAATTAAAAATGGGAACGAGTTCTTATAAAAACTCGGCTTGACAATCCTTAGAGACAATCTGTGTGACAATGTCAAAGAAATAATATTAAATAAGTACAATATTATTTTCAGATCAGAAGTCACCTATATGACGACCAAAGATGACGACTCAAAGTCAAAAAATGAACTAGATAATACGGAACCAGGTTTATCAAATCAAAGTCTAGACATGGAATCTTCACCGCAGCATAGTGATAATGGTGTTTTAGAAGCTCCAGTCCCCACTTCCAGTCGATCAAGTACCACCAGGAATGTGAGTGAAAGAAGAAAAGACATACCAGAAAAAATCCTTAATATTATAGAATGGCGTGCATCACAGCCACCGTCCGCAGAAAACGACGATGTAAAATTTTTGTTAAGCTTCCGTGGAGATATGAAAAGAATGAGTCCAAGCCAGAAATTAGATTTCAAGATTGAAATGCTCCAATTAGTCAAACGAATAAATCATCGTGAATCTCCATTGTCTCACCACAGTACTTAATGGTTGATAATGCCGTCACATACATCATTAGCCCTTCGCCTTCCCGCAATAGTTCTGTGCAAGTCCCACGTCATCTCTGATGCCTCTTGCCACTGGTTTTGCTCCAACGTAGAGAAGTTTTGTACAATCATCACAAAATTATGTGAATATTGTAAAGCAAAAACAACCATGGACAATCACAACTATGTTCTCGACGCTAAGGCCCATTCTCAAGTAGTGTATGTTGAAGACAATTCACAACATTACCTAATCAAAACATGTATTCCTTATAAAATATAACTAAGTAATTCTTAAGTACTATTTAATTAGATTGAAGGTAATTGTTTAGTAAAGTAAGAACTCTGTAATAACCGTATTTTAAATGTAATTGATTAATATATCTTACCTTAATGTTACTGCAAGTCGTTCTACCACGCTGATGGCTAATCTCATATGTGTATCCTTTCTTAGAAGCTTTTCTCTTATTTTATATTTAAATAATTTTTCGGGAGTGGTTCGTAATTTGATACGAGTCAAGCAATCAGTTCCCGTCGAGGCTTAGATAATGCTTTTTTCAAACGTGAGGAAATAATAATAGACTAAAGAGAGGAAGTTGTATAATAGAAAAAGTAAAAAAAAAGTAGTTTATGTGACTGTTACATAATGAAAGGCATTAAAATACGAGCGAGGGTTTTAATGCCTAATTATGTACAGTTACATACACTGTTTTATCTACACACATATTATAATTACTCTTTGTGATATATTCAGGAACCGCATGTTACAACTGGCGAAATGACGGCAGATAAAACTTTTCTTACGCATAATTATCTAATTTGTGCATGTCACACAACCGTAGTTTTTATTTAATTCATAGACAAATTAGAGTAGACCCATAGATTTAGTATATTATGAGTAGGCCCCAATTATCATATCGTTGAATATCAAGTAACGTGAGAAATTGTCAAAATTGTTTACTACTGACATTTCATTTCGAATAAAACTTCATCTCGACTGATATTAGAATTGCCCTTCGAATCAAATTGTTTTGTTTTTCAGAGATGTTCGAAATTTGAATGTAATAATAACATCGAATTCGATGTTATTATGAAGCAATAATTTTTTAATTTATTTCTGGCCATGGAAACAAAGTCCTTCAGCCGAAAACATAAAAATAAGTTTTTCTGTAAATATGGCCGCCACAAAGAGGATAGGCAATTTGAGGCGGCGTGCTTGGATTGACTCGAGATTCCTTAGAACGGGCCGATACGGGTATTTTAGTTCGAGATTCGCATAATTTCGCGTTTTAATCCTCGATTAAGGCACAATAGCACTATCCTATTCCACTTTAAACTAGATTTCACAAAATAATTATAAGTCAAAATAAAAACGACACTTTTCCCTCCAAAAGGTCCAGAGCGAATCCTGAAGCAATAATAACATTTTCACAGATAAGAAATTTGTTCTGACAAAACAGTTTACCTTTGTGCTGGTCGTAAATTTCGGTTTTTGAACACATTATGGAAAGTTTATGATATGTATGTAGATCTTAGAGGATGAAAAAAAATTCCATAGTCTAAGGTGTAGATAAAAATTATTAATATCAAAAGTAATATTTGACATGTTAGGACAATTTTGCTGACAGAAGATGGTATAGGTGCATTATTAATAGCAGTCTACTGAACTTCTGACGATGTGGTTTATGAAATTCAACAGTGCATGAAAATTTCTTAAGTGTTCAGGTATCTTACTTTTAACAAAACTCTTTTAATGGCAACTTTTCAGGAGAGAGATTTAAAGGTTCTAAGGATTCCTAAGGATTCTGCCGACGCAATTAGGCGATCATTTCTTATGCTTATTATTTAAGAGTTACAAAAAAATCACGTATAAATAATTTATTTCATCTAGTTCCTTATATCTTCATGACTTACATGTGATAAAAGCAGTTTTGACGTATTCTTGTGCGTTTATTATACTAAAGAAACTAAATGCAAAGTAATCCATTCAACGGATCCATGGATTCGTCCAATATTCTGAGTAAAAATAGTTTTAAGAATGTAAAGATGGAAATACAGGACAAACCTAGCTGTAACTGTACCGAAGTTAGGTATGAAATCAAAACCATTCAGCGAAATTAAAAAATAATTTAGGATATATTTACAATCAAAATCTCTTATAAAAATCAAGCTTTTAATGAACAGCACTTCGTCGCTTCTATTTAAATACAATCGTATCACATATGTTGTTGAATGAAGCTGTGGAAGCTGGTCACTCTGGCGAAAGCTGACGGAGATCCCAACTGGCAGCCAGCGGCGTTCACGAACGAGGATATGCCGACCTTCATAATTACAAGTGGTTACTCAATACACCATTTAGAATTTACAAATAGTTACCTACTTATCAAACAAATATGTAAGACATTATGTTTGTACCAAAACGATTCAAAAAAAATGGACGAGGTTCTCCATTAATTCTGGTTCTCCATAAATAAGGTTCTGTATATCTTTTGTATGTTAGCTGATTACTCGGACGTTCGTGAAGCAATATCGATGGTTCTTTTTTGTTGAAAAGAGGATGCCTCAGTAGTGGTACCATTCAAATTCGAAGGAAATATTCCACTTATAAAGATGGGAAATTAGGGGATGAATCCGGTTTATTAGATTTCACTCACTTTCCGTCAATCGATTTCAATGAAAATTGGCAAATAGATGTAATTCCACAAACATTTGAATTCGGTTTTTTAAATAAAAAATGTCATAATTATTAATGTGACATTAAATTTGACATGTAGGTACACAGCAAAATTTAAATATTTTCTAGAGGCGCCACTAACTGAATTATTTATGAAATTACTCTGAGAAACATAGCAGTATCAATTGCGGTATTTTTCTCTCACCAAAACGCGCTGTCCGAACTGGGTTACAACGAGGGGGCCGCCGGAGTCTCCTCCACAAATTCCAACGCCGCCAGCGCCACTGGTGCAAAGTGTGCTCTGTTGCACGAACGTAGGTCCAAAGACAGACATGCACTGCTGCACGGTGATGATTTGTAGATTCACATGAAAGATCTCTGCACTCATGGTAATACCGGTTTGCTCTGGAACACACAATAATACTTTAGTTGAAATCGTGGTAACGTGGGTACTTAATACCTTGGTATATCACCTGCAGAGGAAAGGTGTTCATAGATAAAACTACGGACCGTCAACTTTCACAATTCCTATTCAATGGTTTCCAAAATACCATATACTGCGTTTTAAAAAGTTTTGGCAACAGGACATCCCTGCCGTACTCTTTATTCCTTAGGAAGACAGTATTATTGCATTGTTTCAGCTTTGTGTCATCCTTTTGTCAATCGGCATTTCATGAATTCTTGGTTCCGACACTCGGCTCGATCGTGTGCAGCATATTTCTATCACGATGACACGGCTATGTTGTGTACTCACGATCGCTGGTTCTCCCATAACCTGCGGCCATTGCCCACTGTCCGGCGAACGTGTCGTGCAAGTCGCTCGGTAGCGCCACGGGCTGGATGGATTCTACAAAAGATAAAAACCACTGACATGCAACAAATACTTTCAATCTATATTTATGATTCTAGAAATTTATAATCCCCACAACATATATTTTCTATATACATATATGATACGAGCTGGTGCCCATGACTTTGTCTGCGTAGAATAAGTGCTTCTAGTAGCCTAATGTACATAACTAATAGGTACTAATTTTCATTACAAAATGCATAAACATGAATTTTCAGATCCCTTGTATTTATTGAGATTTTTTCTGAAATTACTCCACTAGTTTTGTTATTGTTATGAATGCAAAGATCGAACACACAGAATTTTTTTTAGTCGACCCGGTGGGACTTGAACCCACGTCCATGCTGCACCGTAGCATTGCTCTAACCATATGAGCCAGGGGTCCAGTTACCGAGTCGTAATTCTCCTATCGAAGTAGAAATTCTCCTATATGTTTTTGTTATAGATCTTTGTACTTTCAGCATTCGTCGCCGCTAGTGACACCCAGTGAGAGATTTTTGAATAACCTTCTCAAATTTTTATGTGTGTTCCATTGACCTACCAACAAATAGGTCAATGGTGTGTCCGATCTTGTATTTCAGATCCCTTAGGCACTTGAGAAATGATTGGGTCTCCATACAAACTTTCATACCCTATCACCACCTTTAAGATTTATTTTTAGACATAAATGGAGTGACTTCTTTGGGTTCTCCGGTAAAAATGGGTGTTCCGCAAGGCTCAATACTTGGACCTTTCTTATTTCTGATTTATATTAATGATCTGCCATTCTTTGTTAAGGACCATTGCGAAATAGTATTGTTTGCTGACGACACATCCTTGATTTTTAAAACAGACAGACGTGACTAAACTAGGACCATATTAATAATACCCTCTCCAAGGTAGTTTAATGCTAACAATTTATTGCTTAATGCCAAGAAGACAAAATGTGTTAAATTTGTATTACCTAACGTAAAATCGACTAGTCCAAGCATAGAAATAAACGGAGAAAAGTTAGACCTTGTTAATAAAGCAGTCTTCTTGAGAGTGACCTTAGATATTCCACATATATATTCCCTGGCCAGCAGATTAAGCTCCGCTGCATACCCAGTCCGCAGAATACGCGAGCTTCGAGGTTAGTACTGCTAGACGAGTTTACTTTTGTTACTTCCATAGTATAATGTCCTACAGGATTCTCATGTGGGGTAAAGCGGCAGATATTCAAACCATATTTGTATTACAAAAACGGGCGATTCGTTCTGTGTACCGTTTAGGTTCTGATATTTTGGCAGAGAAAAGTTTAGGGAGACTGGTGTCATGATTGTGGCATCACAGTACATTTACTCAAATATGTTATATGCCCGTAAAATATACATAATTTCAATAAGAAGGAAGATATCCATAATATTAACCTTAGAGCTAAGTCCAAACTCATGGTACCATAATTTCGTTCAACCAAGGTAAACGACTCTTTTATGGGGAAGTGTATACGTTTTTACAATAAGGTTCCGGAGCAATTATATTAAGATTATCATTTCCTAAGTTTAAAAACAACATTAAAAATATTTTGATCGAAAAGTCATATTACGAAATTGAAGACTACGTGTTCGATAACGATGTATGGAAAGACGACATGGCTCCAGAATCCACACAAATTTGATTCAAAGTGTATTCCATAGCATTTAAGTTTATTTAAAAAGAGCAATCCCTAGAGTTTCTTGCTCGTTCTTCTCAGGAAGGTCAGCGTAGTGAAAGAGCAGTAGCTTAGATGTTTTCAAGTGTAAATTTACTTTACCTATGGAATAAATGATTCTTTAACTTTGAGTTTGACTTTGACTTTTTGTGACAATAAGTAGCCTAAGTCCTTCTCCTAGGTCCCATCTACCTCTACACCAAAAATCACCAAAATTGGTCCAGCGGTTTAGGCGTGCACAAGTAACAGACTACTTTCGCATTTATAATATTCGTTTGGATGAACGGTGGTACCTTGTCAATATACCTATTGTTATATATCATACATTAACCAGATAATTGAATAAATCGCAAAACACGTGTGGAAAATCAGTTTGTTATCCACTCGTAATAATCGGTATTGCACTATCAACCTTTAACATCTTATTTGGACATTTTGTACTGTTACAGCTACTGCACACACTACACATTCACAATTCATAGTCTTGGCCACTGGCAGAGGTTAACAGTGTTGTCTTTTGGTAAAGCGGATAGTAATAATAAATAACTAAAATTATTACAAATTTTTTATAAAAAAAACCGATCTCAAAAGTTTGCTTATCGGCTTTTTTATTGGAACTATCTATTTGCCAAGTTTTAATGAAATCGGTCAACGGAAACTGCACGAACCCGGATTCACCCCCTATTTTGCCACCCTTAGGGATGGAATATTTCCTTCAAATTTAAATGGGAGGTACCCTCTCAATATTGCGGTACCCTCTTTGCAACAAAAAAAAGAATCATCGAAATCGGTTCACAAATGTCGGGGTAATTGCGTAAATACACGCAAAAAAATATAATCGAATTGTGAACCTCCTCCTTTTTTTGAAGTCGGTAAAAAAATAAAACTTACGCGACAATAAAACGTTTGTTGGTAAATAGATCATGGCAACGTCGTTTGCGAGAGTAGCAGGGGTCCATTGCGGGTGCATGATCACATTTTGGGTGTGGACGCGAGTGCCGCCGAAGAAGATGAATTGGGAGCCAAGGACAACTTCATACTGTCTAGCTTGGTTCCTGCCGTCGAACCAACAATGCGCTGCGGTCACCAACCGGTTGGCGGAGAGCAGAGAGGAACCACACACGGACTGACCAGCGACGTTCACGAAGGAAATTATTAGGCCAGCCTAGAACAGGTTTAAGAACGACGGTTACGGTTAAAATTGATAAATACGAGCTGTGGCCATGGGCCCTGAACAGTGTTAGAAACGTCGTTGTTTTTTTGTTTGAAAAAAAACAAACACTTAAAATAAAAAAAAAATATATAGTTTCATTTCCTGCTGCTTATGGAATTTTAGAGTCAGTCCACGTTGCAAGAGGAGGGATCTTGAAATAAAATTCATCCTAAATTACCGATCTGCACTATCACAATACCTTTCTATAAATCTACAGCGAGAACATTTGCAGTTTAAAGACATTTAACTAAGTTACATAGTGACATGAATAAAGTTTAACGAAATATAGGCAAAACCGTCTCAACGCAATTGTAATGGTGATCCCTCTCGGAGAGTCTTACCAAGAACGGGTATGAATTAGAGGCAGCAGCAGCTCCTCCAACGATCCTGTTGCCGGTGGACTCAACAGGTTCTCCTCTGATTGCATTCTCCAACAACTTCTCTATCGCGGCTTCTTCATTAACTTTGATCCGAGCCGCGAGATCAAATCCCACGGCATCGTGGTAGTATAGCTGTGGCTCAACTTTCGAGGCTGCAGGACTAGCCACGCAGCTCGCTATCAGGGCCAAACCGACCAGCAAAATCGCACGCATTTTCGATGAAACTACTAAACATTTAGACAAAGTCAACTTCCTTTTATATATGTGTTTATCGTAATCATTGAATCAGTTCTTTTAAGCAGATAAAAGTAATTATAGAAATATCTAAATTTTAATTTTGTTAATTATATTGTAACCAACTGGATTAAGTAATGATTAGAGCGATATAAATAAAAACTGCAATGCGTCATTAGTCAAACGACGATACGATTCAAAACTTAACTTTAGAAATACGCCTTCTTATTTTGCGAATAAAGCCTTCGGGGAGTAATGGAATTTGTCTCGATTCAAGTGAAAGATGTATGATTAGCTGTGACCGGAATTGACGGAATTAATTTACCTAAAGTTTGAATGTTTTCTTAATATGGACATACACACTTTGCATCAAAAAAATATACGCATTAATATACATCAACGCGTATTTTTTTACTGTTTATATTCCAAACGTTCCAAAATACAGGTTATCTCATGATTATTGTTAAACGGCTAAAGTACTGCAATATTAATGACTGAGACAATGATTTGTAGCAAATACTTAACAGGAAATAATAGTTTGTCGGCAATATACTCAAATTTAAAAAAATAATATACATTACATTACGCATTACATGTATATACGTAATGCGTATTATTTATTTAAATTTGAGTATACACACATACACTTAATCAGTTCCGAGAAGCCCCGGGATTTGGAAAAGGGAAGGTCCACATTATTCTTTAGTTTAGCTAAATTAATTCCCTCGATTCAGATTATTCGGAAGAAACAGAAAATAATAGGTAGCATTAAATTTATAAGATCTTCACATGTTGATAAGATAAGGTGCTGATTGCCATTGGGCCGTATTGGGTCTAAAGCAATAAATCAATCTATGAAATTGAACTATAAGGGCACGACTTGACCTCTAAATAATTTGGTGGTAAAAAGCGTTGGTGCTGTCCGGGGGGTGCTACCGCATTTGAAAAATAAAACCTCAAATATCTAAATATAAACTACAGTACATACATATAATTTTTTTCTTGTGGTAAGTGGGCGTTGAAATTGTTTATCTTGTCCTAAGTGGTCGGTGAGCCAAGACGTGTGGGTTTAGGCCATAGTTCATTACGCTGGCCCAATACGGGTTGGGGACGTCTTAAGTTTTCCGGGAGTTATGGACCTTCTTCGACGCGCAGGTTTCATCACGACGTTTCGCTTCACCGAAAAGGTCATGATAAATTTCAAATTAAATTTCGCTCATAAATTCCCAGAAACTCAGAGCTGCGGGCTCTGATTCGAACCCACGGCCCCGGTTTGAGAGGCGGTAGGTCAAACTTTTAGGTTAAACTAACTAAATATTTATATTACATATATTTTATATATATCATGTGTAATTACGTTGTTCATGTGTAATATTAATATTTATAAAATTTGGCATCTAAACGGATGCAAACTCCAAAGTGCTGGTTGACAGACTCGGAGACTACACTTGACAAAGAAGAATGAAATAAAATAAGTTTTATTAAGGTTTAAAAGTTTAAGTATTAAATTTATTAAATTCGTACCTTGCGCGCGGCTACAACGCAAGTTTCTTGCGCATGTATGTCTATTACCACCCCTCAACAAAAAATTCAATTTTCAATTCAAATTAACACTTAAACTTAATTTAAAATTGAATTTTCAAAAAATACGTAAGTATTTTAAAACAGTCGAAGTCGTTAAAACATAAAACATGCTCCACAGAAAATTTTTCGAAATGGCGCTTTCACCCTTGCTGTAAAACACCGACAAAATGAGGTGTGTTCAGATATTACACCTGGCGAGTGTATGGGATACGTGACGTCATGATAAATCCAACCTGGCTGACGTCAGAAGTTATTTTAGTGTCGGTAGTCGGCCTTTTTACTACTTTTAATTAAAATATTGAACGTACATACTTACGCAGAGCTGCCTTATTGCAATTATCGCTAAGAACAATGCATTCATTATCACTAGAATATGAATAAAACAATTGTGACAATTGAGTTTGATAACATTGATGACTTTATTAAAAGTTACTCGTTTATCGGTATTAAGCGATAAACGAGCTTTGTTGTTATTTATTGTGTTTGTATTAATAAGTAATTACATCATTAGTGTAACAGAGCTACAATTGTGATCATTATGTCAAAAGTGCTACTAGGAACTCTCCTATTTAATATAAAAAAGTATATAAGTATAATAGTTTGGATCGTGGATTCCTTAAACCTAAACCGGATTCATCCCCTAGTTAGCCACCCTCAGAGATTTTCTTTAAATTTAAATGGGACCAATAGTAAGGTACCCTCTTTCCAACGAAAAAAGAATTATCAAAATGGGTTCACAAAAAAATACAATCGAATTGAGAACCTCCTCCTTTTCGAAGTCGGTAAAAAATTTCTTAAATATGATTAACATTTTCTCAAATTATATTACAATATATATATTATATATAATTGGTTAAGTTTTTACAAGATCTATACAAATAATGATACCTTATTACGTATACGTAGTACACGTATATGTACAAAGGTAATTAATTCTTGGTTACTTATAGCGCCACACAACGGAAGATAAGAGTTTAGAATGCGGTGAGTAAGGAACAAATCTTAATAATCAAAGACATGTTATTCACTCAATTGATGACAATGCCGGTGATTTCACCTATCCAAGCCAAGTACCGCTGGACTCTAGTGAACACGGACGGCAGGGAGTCGTTGCACCCGCTCTCTTGTACGACTGACGTTACGCCGATCTGAAAATTAGAAAATATTTTTCCTATTTTAATGTTACTGTTACAGCTGGGCAAAAGTGATACACTCCATTTATTTTCACACGCATTGTAGTAGCAATAGAGCTCCTTGTGAAAGAGTTAGTCCAAGGAAGCACTGCCACTTTTCCTGTATCTGCCGCCAAGCAATAATGTTAGCATTACGCTGTTCCGGTTTTCAAGGGTAAGGATGCTGATGAAATTACACTAACATGACACTTGTCAACTTATGCCTCTGAGCGGCGATCGCAGTGACAATGCCCCTCAGATCTTTGCGATTTAAAGCTTTGAATGGCACTGCAACTGTTATGGACAGGCGTGTAGCTTACTGTCAGGCGCACAACTTGTTTATTCCGTCACTTATAAAATTAGATAATATAGAAAAAACAACAAAAAAAACAGTCTCAGAAACGAGAAAAAAATTACAGAGTTTACAGAAATAATTAACCTATAAAAAATTAATTAATTCAAAATAAAAAAGGCCGCCTTTTGTACATTGGTTTACTCTGTGACACCTACTTACATTACTGTTCTGTGCTGTCATTGTAATTTTAACGTGGAAAAAAGAGCATTTCATTCATTCATTCATACATTCATAAAAAAATGTATGTGACGTACACGCGCTCAGAGAAATGTTGAAATCAGTTTGCACTTATCAACCCAGATTTTGAGCCCGACTCGGCCATGGCAGCTCTTGTCAATCACACACTCAAATTTTTATTATTATTTGAATAAAGTTTCTAAAAGTATGTTTAAAATGTATTTAATTAGAAATAAATTGCCGCGCAGACGCGTCAACTTAGACCGCGTGAGGGCTTCTGTAGATAAACAAACTAGACAATGTGCACTTGTCATTTGCCAGAATTTTACGTACTCATTGCCTACTGTCCTCAATCCAATGTCTTTACAGTTTTTAGTCAAAAGCGTTTAAACGAAGGGAAACCAAACAAGGTAACAGGCGAACAGTGAGCACGGTAACGTTTCTTTGCTTATCTACAAAGGACGTCACGTGTGTTTGATATTTGCCTAACAGATTAAAAATATATCAATTATCAGATTTTATTTATTGATTTAAAAATACAAATCATTATTATTTTAATTGAATTATTGTTTTTATTACAGAAATTTTCTTTTCGTAAGTATTGAATTTTTTTTCCTATTGTGGACCATTGACCTATTGTGGACCATTGACCTCGAATAAGTACATGTACCTAATTCAAGTTGACTGCGACCCACAATGTGGGTCCCAAACGGGATTACATCAATTTCTTCGGTCCTGTGCTGTCTCTAGCCACTCCAGCGAGACGTAACGTAGATAACTCACCAAAATAGTTTCTTCCGTATTCGGATCATTTGAGTCCGTGAAGACAATCGTCATTGGGCCACCGTTATCGCCCTAAAAGTAAATTGACAACATAAGATATTTCAAGAAGACCCGTGCCGATGACTCTAAGATGACCCAAAGCGGAAGCCAGTGGGAAATGGGGAATATCACTAATACATATTACTTTTTTCGCTTATTTTAGGGCTTCTGTTTTATCAGCTAGTTTCCAAGTCAATTAGGTGATATCAATATAATAAGTGTTGAATTTGATTTCTTCATTTCAGACCTAATAACTTGCAGCTTAACCAATTGCCTTCTATCCTAATCATAGGTATTAATATAATTTCATAGTGTGCACTCATTATTACAGCGTTATATTAAAACCAACCTTGCAAGTCCCACCGCGGTTACTGAATCCGCATACAATGTTGTCGGGGAGAAAATGTTGGTAGTTAATATTGCAGAGTTGATCGGTCATGACGGTCATCTGCTTGCTTCGCAAAATCGGGGATATGAACGGTGCGTCTGAGTTCATCGAACAATAAAGCATTAAATGATTAAGTATTTAGATAAAATAGTCTTTATAGGTGCCTACAGATTTGCTCGATTTTTTGTCGATCGGCACATATGGTTATACCAAAACGAGTAAATCTGCAAATGCCCGACGATCCACATCGTATTTTTGTCGATCGTCTGTTGCTAACATCATATCGACCGACAATAACGATTGGTCAAAAATCGAGCAAATCTGTTGACGCCTTTAGTGACAAAATTGTGGCAATTACACAAACATTATAACCGGAAATCACCAATGTAATAGGGTATCGAACTGGTGAAAAGAAAATTCAATTAAAATTTAATAAACTCCCGTGCTATAACACTCCAAAAATGCAATGAAGTCACCATCTGTAAGTTAACAACTCGTCGAAACATTTAAATCCAACTTTAATGAGCCCAACCCCGACAGTTCTGCCGCAAGTTGTTGAGGAGTTGAATAGTCCGCAGACAGTCTTGGTTACAGCATCAGATCAAGGTTATCATTTGTAATAATGTCATCGGATTTTCATAGTATACCAAATTTCTAGTAGATCGTCGACTAGTGGAAGTAAAATAAAGATTAATTTTATGACTCAGATCCCTACATTTACTAGGAAAAGAACTAATAATCTTTAGGCAGATATTCAAGAAACATAGCTTTCTTAGCTGCCATTCCGAATCAATTAGCATTTAAATAAAAAATAAACCATTTTTACATCAGTCCATCCATTTGGAACTACGACGCAACAGATACTCACATAGGTCCACAGAGAAGTAATATCAGTCATACGGCACGTGGTACAACGAAATGGAAGAAATTTGGGTTTGCATCTACGCGACGGTTAATTCAAATTCCACAATATCGATCGTCAAAATATGCGTTGTCGATCGTCTGTTGTTTACACGTTTACTCGATTTTGTCTGATCACAAGTGTCGATCGTCAAAAATCGAGCACCTTAATAGGTAAATGAAACCACATTTTTTTAGGTCCATGTAATTTGTTTATGTTGACTGTTTTAAGTTTCTTCTAGTTTTAGTTATAGTTTTTGAACATAATACGTACCGGGTGTAGCTATGCCCCAACCGGAGACAGTGGCACCTCGACCAGCGAAGTTAAAATCTGCTACTCGTAAGTACGGGAGACGGACTACGTCTATCGTGTCTGTAATGTGAATTATTCAGTGTAAATGGCACGTGGTATTATAATTCTAGCGGCTGTGACAGAAACATCCCACGAGTTGTCTACGATTTCGTTATTGATGAGGCTAAATTTTACTCTAGATATTATCTGTAGAGAGATTATACAACCATGGGCACAGTATTTTATCTCCCAGTGGGGTATGACAATGGCATGTTTTTTAAAATAATTGTATGTTGAACACGGGTATTTTTTAAAAAAGGCATATGATCAACATAATTGTGTTCAAATTACAAATAGATAATCTACAATTCATAAATCTGATAATTTCTTTAAGTTTGGCTTATCAACCGTGCAAGACGATTTTCTAGCACGTTATCATAAGCAAAAACGTGACAAATTGGTCATTATTACATTACAATTTAAACTTTTACATATTTTATTGTTGTATGATACGTACTGCTCGGCAGAGATCTTCTCAAATAGGGATAGTGATAGAAAGGTACGGTCAACTTCACCGTGTACCACCGTGGAAGAGTTACCTGTCAGTTGAATGAGGTTGGCTAGTCTCATCAGCGCAATGTCGTTGGCGAACGTGTCAGAGTCCCATTCGGGGTGTACCTCGACGTGTTCCACGTTCACGACGCGCCTGCCGTTCTCGTACCGATCGTAGAGATTGTGCGCCCCTAAGACTGCCTTAAACATGGAAGTTGGAGCCACGTTTACACAACACGCATCTAATACATTAGATATATAGACAGATTGATTTATTTATTTGTATTGTGCCCCACAACTACATCAATTTTTCGGTCCCAAGCTAGAGTCCTTGCACTATGTGAACCAAAGCAACCTTCCAGAAGCACTACCCAGAACACCGAGATCAGAAACAATATAAAAACTCCATTTTCCAAATTGGTCTTACTCGTAATCGAACCCAGCGCCCAAAATGCAAACCGTTGGGCTAACGAGTTCGTGAGTTGATAGGTAAATCATTCATAAGATGTGTTCCGGTTTAGAAGGGTAAGGGTGCTGATGATTACAGGATTACAGGCACATGGGACTTGTCAACTTATGTCTCAGGGTGACGGGCGCATTGGCTGTGCCCCTCAGATCGTTTGCGATTTAAAGCTCTGAGTGGCACTGCAACTGTCAGAACAGCTGCAGGGCCAATGAAGTCCCGTCCCTTGATATTATAAAAAAAAAGTGTATGGAATTACATACCAAAATTCATATTCGCCGTTTCCGCCTACAACTCTGGATAGAAACGGGTTAAACCCGGCGATTTAGGCTAAAATCCGAATAGAAACGGGCGGGTTGATTGGGTTTTAACCCACTACCAAGCACGTTCCAAGCGCCTTTCATTATAATGTAACTGTGTGCGTCCGTACACGGCACACGTTGGGCGTGCACACATACAAGCCGCGCTGCACGTTGCCGACTCACCCTTCGGCTCTTCTATTTACCCAGCAAAATCTTTAACTCTTTTTAGTTTGTAGGCTAAGAAACGACTCTTGCAATCGTCATGGTTTTAATTGTATGAGAAGAACGATAAAAAAACTCCAAGGGTACCTGTATGCGGTCGACTTGCTCGCCGTCGTGAAAACAGCAGTGCGCGGCGGTGATCACCCACTGCGGATGGATCAATGACCCACCGCAGAAGCCCAGCTCGCCTGTCTCACCCACTCTCGAGTATAGAGCGACCTGAAGAACGTTTCGCATCCTCAATGCTAAAGCAACATAATTCGAGAAGTAACTTATAAATTGACTAGATTAGTCATGTTAATAGATTAATTATATATTATTTTCTAATCTAGTCTAGTATTATTATATATATTATGACTTTTTTATAAAAAAAACGACCTCAAAAGTTTTATTTATTTATTTACTTATTTAAAACTTTACATCTACCGTTAGAGTTATAATCAAAGCGATAGTGTACAAATTCATATGTAGGTTCTTACATTAAACCCATAATTAAAAAAGAAATTAACTAATCGCTAAAATTATTACGAAATATGTACATAGCAAATAACGTAAAGTATTATTCTTGCGCATTCACACAGAGTACATGAAAATAAGTCCGTTCTGCTGCAGCAGGGCCTTCTGGCTCAGATTAGTCCGGCCGCGCGGCACTGTCAACAACCGCGGTGTTCGTCGCCTTCAGAAATAATAATTCGGCACGCACGAAGACACCCTTTCCAGTATACTAGGGTTAAAGATTGACCCTCTAAGTAATGCGAAGTCTCGACGTACTTCTAGTCTATTATAACCAATCATGTCCAGTACAAACAAACGTGGGTACCTACATGAGCGAATAAAAGGGGTAAACACCATATATTCTTGCATAGGTATGTCGTGTAAATTTATTTTGAATGCGCTCTAACATAATTTTGTACATACTTTGCTTCATGGGGCGACCAGATAACTGCATTGCATTCCAAATGGCTCCTTACAAGGGCATCATATAATGCTTTTATGGCACTAATTTTGTTGAAGCACCGAGTCTGCCTCAACAGGAAGTCTAGGTTCCTTATGTAGGCTTCTTCCGTAGGCCTTTTTACAAACATTGACTATATGGTTTCCAAACGTCAGTTGGGCTGTAAGTAGAACCCCTAGATCGCGTACCTTAGAAACCTTTTGCATCGGGACTATGTTTATGCTATATTTGTATAGGTGTCCGAGCACGACCGAATGTTATCAGAGAACACTTTACCTCATTAAAAAACAGATTGTTCTCGTGACGCCACTGGACAACCTTGTCTATATCTCCTTCTAAGTTTGCACAATCTCGTCCACCTATTACAGCCAACCATAGGTTAATGCAGCCAACAGTAATTGTAAGTTGTAAGTGTACATATACATATGTAGATATATCTATATCTAGATATATGTCTGTGTGAACAACACTCGGTAGGTCATATAATCATTATAATGAATTCAAGCAGATCCAAATTGCTACCTGCCTAACGCCTGAACCCGTTAGACTCATGTCCCTCACAATCCACGTATTGTTGCCTGTTCCTCATGTAAGTGGAAAAAAACGTAAGCGTGTGTGGAGTGAACCCTATGCGCGCAAGCTTCGTCAATAAGATGTCATTGTCGACCGAATCGAACGCTTTTTTAAATTCAAAGTATGCAGTGTCCACCTGAACATCAGTGTCTACATACGGGATCACGTATGACATGAAATTCAGCAGATTAGTATTGATACTTCTGCCCGGTTGAAAACCTTGTAGAGAGTCCGAGAATGAACTTATTTGCTCGTAAATACGCATTTGTGCAGCCGACTCGAATACTTTGGCTGGCGTCGATAGTACTGTGACTGGCCGATAATCACTCACATGAACTTGCTTTACCCTTCGGTATAGGTGTGACTCTGGTAATCTTCCAACAGCTCGGTAAGACAGCTGTCTTTAGGTTAGCATTTAATATACGTAAAAGCAGTTCAGTTAACTGTTTGCGACAGTCCCTAAATACAAACGCGGGAATGCCATCCGGGCCCGCTGACCGCTTGGGCTTGAGACTGGCCAGTGCAGTTTCTACACCGCGTAGGACCAAATTCTGTATATGAACACGTGCACTGGATGAGTCACGTACTCGACCTTACAGCTGTCTCAACGTCAAGCACCGCCTGATCAGTGCGATAAAATGATTTAAAAAATTATGCAAATTCAGTAGCACTTTCTGCCTTTGTTAAAATCTTCCCTTTTCTCATGATCTGTTCCCCACACGATGGTCCCCTCACTAATATGTCCCCAAAACGATTTTGGGTCACTTGCAAAGTTTGCCTGAATACTGTCCTGATGTCGTTCCTGCGCATATTTAAGGTCAATCTTAATATTCGTCCTACACCTAGCAAATGTTATGCAATCTTCATTTGATTTAGTAACTTTGTATCGCTTATGTAGTTAGGTTTTTAATTTTATGTTCCTTATAATATCTACCGTATACCATTTGGGCTAATTATACCGTGAGACAATGCGTTTTGGTTTTTCCCTGGGAACACATGTGTCTAAAATTACCAGTCAAAATTTCATAGAAATAACATAAAGCCGCTAAAGTCCACTGATGATAATATCATGTCATACAACAAGGAAAAGTTCGCTTTATACATGTTCCATTTAGGCCATTCGACCCGTTCACCCTGCATGAAGGTACCGTTACCATCCGTCTCGTCATCAGTCATGTTAGTTCCCAGTGCCGCCGGCCCGACCGGAACTCGAATATAGAGCGGCGGATGGTACGCGTCCACCGGCACTATAGCCTCGTCTTCCGCGTGCACCGTCAATTCCCCGTTTTCCCCGTCTTAGTCCTACTAAATCCAACTGACGACCTAAGCAGTTAGGCATCTCGTTAGACTGTGTGAATTCACAAAACGACATAAAGTATTCGTAGTAATTTAATACAATAGCTGGACACGAATGTAGATTAAAATCGCCTAATACAATTACATTTTTATACCTATTAGATACATAGTTGTGGAATTACATCTATTTGCCAAGTTTTATTGCAACTGGTTAACGGAAAGTGAGCGGAATTAATAGATATAGAAAAAATCGATATCTATGGTGGAATTTAACTGCCTCCGTGGCCGAACGGTTACCATGCCGGACTGCCACGCAGAGGTCCCAGGTTCGATTCCCGGGCCGGGAGAAATAGTTGTATGGCCTACAATTATTTCTCTCGTGAGTTTGGGTGTAATTTGTGGTTGTCTATGTGTGTGTCCATGGCACCCGCGACACAGGGTTTTCCCTAGTGCGGGGCTATGTTGAGTGTGTGCGTGTGTGCGTTATTATAAAATTATAAATCCAATAAACCGGATGCATCTCCTAATTTGCCACCCGCAGAAGTGACGTATTTTCTTCGAATTTGAATGGGATCACTACTAAGGTAACCCCTTTCCAACCAAAAAAGAGTCAGTCTTAGAAAATATTACTCCTCTAAGGGCGGCAAACCCTTAGAGGTGGAATATTTTCTTCAAATTTCCTCTTTCTAACAAAATCATTGCAATCGGTTCACAAATGTCGGAGTAATCGCGTGACATACACACAAAAATACAGACGAATTGAGAAACTCATCCTTTTTGCAAATCGGTTAAAATAACGTTTGTGCTAACGGCCATATATGTCATTTGGTATAACCAAATATGATAAAATTCTATTTTAATGTAAGGAACAATGTGTGATCCTAAGTTTGTCGCATTTAGTGGAAAAGCGATGTATTAGTTTTCTGTGTAAAGATGTCAGTTGAAAATAATTGTTCAGAATACAGCCTTGTTTAGGATTCTTTCGTATGAAAAAAAAAACGACTTCTTCGTGCTGGATGCCAATCAACCAAGAAAGGATTGTTATCTACAATCCATTCTTGGTTAAAACCTAAGTGGTGGTCAAGATATCTTTTAGATGTCCCTCTCACAGTATTATAGGGCAAGTATTTCTAACTAAATAAACTTTATCATGACTTTATCTCATTACCTTTTAGAACTTGTGTCGACATACGTATGTGTTGTTTTCATTTTTTCGTATTTTAAGATATCTAGAACACCTACTTAAGAATTCATCAATTTGTATTTGTGCAGAATTAGTAGACATAAAAAATTTCAATAAATTAATGAAATATTTTTTATTGCAAATTGCAATGACAATATAAAAAAAAGGTATAAAGTAGAAGTAGTGCTCCTTGTAAGACTTCGTCCAGGGAAGTACTGCCTTGCCTATCTATTTCTGCCGCCTGGCGGTAATGTGAGCATTACTGCGTTCCTGTTTAGAAGGGTAAGTAAGGGTGCTGGTGAAATAACAGGCACATGGGACTTGTCAACTTACGTCTCAGGGTGATGTACGCAGTGGCAATGCCCCTCAGATCTTTGCGAACTAAAGCTCTGAGTAGCACTACTTTGCAGGCCTTGGTCGGGAACAGTCGCACAGCCCTTAGATGACAAACTTTCCGTGTTCGTTTTTGAAAGTAATGCAAACATTTCCGAGCATGTTTGAGAAAGGTATTATTTCTAAAAGGACACTTTACAGTAGGTTAGCGTGTGACAAGCAAAAGGCGGAATGGCGAGAGTAGTTCTTCTTTCAAATGTTATGTAGGTAGTGTTGAATTTCGGATATTATTCCTTTAATTTTCACATTTGACGTTGACACCTGTCAAAAGATGACGTTACTGAACGAAAATGACGGAGCCAACAACAGGTAGTGGTGGTGTTGTTGTTGTCGTTGGAGGATCTTTTCGCTATTGTGAAATATTTTTAAAAATCGTTTTTTAAGTGGCTTTTAGCTATACACGTTTATAACTCAACCTAAATAAAACTTCAAAAGATATTTCTAAACGTAGAATACAGATAATATAAGCCTTCGAAATTATATTCTTCATTTGAAATTTATCGCAAGTTGAAAACAATACCGTCACTAAACTAAGGGCCGTATTCCAAAACTCTACTCAATGCTCAAGTCAGGATCAGGATAGTATTACAGTGAGCACTGAAAATCATACTCAAATCCTTGCTATTAGTGTCGTTTTTCCAGTAATAATAATAATAATAACGCCACACACCCAACATAGCCCCGCACTAGGGAAACCCTGTGTCGCGGGTGCCATGGACACACGCATAGACAACCACAAATTACACCCAAACTCACGAGAGAAATAAATGTAGGTCATACAAATATTTCTCTCGGCCCGGGAATCGAACCTGGGACCTCTGCGTGGCAGTCCGGCATGGTAACCGTTCGGCCACGGAGGTACTTTGAGCTTGAAATCATACTCAAGTCTGCTCAAATCTTGACTTGAGTATTGAGTAGAGTTCTGAAATACGACCCTTAAACTCTTACTTTTTCAAATTTAAGGGTCGTTTTCAGATAACCTCCAAAAATGGGTCCCTTTCAATCACTTTTATGTTATTACATGAATGCTAAGCATTATTTATTTAATATGATTGCTTGCTTACTTAGTCCGTGTTACACATAAAAAGACTACTTTACTACGTCACATTAATAAATAAACATTAAAAAAAGTGGGCAATTTCTCATAAATGGGAGCCGGTTCCACGTCGCCCTAATTTTAAGAAAAGAAGAAAAAATTAAACACTTGTGGCAATCGCAATATGTCCCATCGAGGATAAACTCTAATAACTTTTACATCGAATACATACCGTAACTTTCCAATTTATTATAAACAAACATGTTTTCTTGGGAATACAAAATGTGTTTCAATTTTTCTTATCATTAGTGTCACTTCAACTAAAAGCCTCCTAATATAATTTTCTTTCTTTCTTTCTAATAACAAAAATTAATACCGCATCACCTTCACCCTTCGCACACATGAGAAGGGGCTCCTGTCGGATTGGAGTGTACACAGTGAAGTAACCTGTGCATCTCCGTTTTAGCAAAAAATCGACTTAAATACCAATTTCACCGCTAGTGACTAAATCGTTCTCATTCATATAAAGCAATCTATCTAAATAAGTATTAAGTAATAGTTTTATAAACTTTATTGTACATCAATCAGACAAAGGAACTTTAAAATCCATGCACTTTTATAACGGTCCAGCATATTTTACACACTTGACAATTAAAAATGTATCCAAATATCATTCTTGTCGCTCTCATTCTTGTCTACTTTTAAGTCAAATAGTTACTTTAAGCCAAACATTTACTTGAAATATAACAATTAGATCGTTGTAGTAGTGGTGATGACAGTGGTGACGATGATGATGTGAATGGTAATGATGCTGATGATAATGGTGATCATGATGATGATGTTGATAATGATGATATTTTGATGTACAACAAAGTTTATATGACATTAACAAAATACTTCTTTAGATTTATTTATTAATTACATATAGATAGATAGATGGTCTTACACGGATGAGAAGGATTTTGTACAAAAAGTTATATTAAAATATTTGTTACATGTTAAATGGTGTTAAATGTTCTTTTTTGAACGATAAAATGTGTGTTGTAATAATAATTTCTCATTACTGTGCCGTCTTTCTCATTTATGTTTATGAGAAAATCATTCGTGTTACTGCAGTCTCATTCGTGTGACCTAAAATATGGTTTCTTTTTGTTGTATTTAACTTAAATATTTCTGTGATTTTATAATTATTGACATTGCTTGAACTTATTTCTACGTTTAAGACCTTAAAACCAAAAGAAAAAAGGGTTTTACAAAAATGACTCAAAAGTGCCATTGAAATTCGGACAGTGAAATTCACCCTTAAACTTAATTTCACAGACTTTTCAAAACAATTTACTTTTTCGTTTAGTGACAGTATTAATTTAAGCGTGTCGTAGCTATGCAATGTAAGTAATAATATACTCGTATATCAGTAATATTAACCTAAACAAACAGTGATAAGATTATTATTTTCTTTGCATGTTAAATGCCAAATCAAATCAAATGTTAATAGTTTTATCAGGTGAATGAGATCTAGACGACTTAATACAATAGATATCAGTACCTACTCACTACAACGGGCAATCCCTAATTCCATATATCCCTGCAGGCAAGAGCTCAGCTACTTATCGACTCATGTCGCTCTGTAAACTCTCCCAAATTCGGAGGAAAGAGCATTATACGTCGTATAGATGGTCTTAGTAACTTAGACAAGTAATAATATTTGTATCGATCAAATTTTGATAAATGTAACAATGCTGTGAAGCGTGAATTCATCAAACAACATAGATAATATCGAGTTCTTAGGTTTTCGCGATTGTTACACATTGGAAATGAAACTATTTTTTCGGATTTAAATCGCATACATTTGTTTTTTCCCACAAATTACACCCAAACTCACGACAGAAATAAATATAGGTCATAGAAATATTTCTCCCGGCACGGGAATCGAATCCGGGGCCTCTGCATGGCAGTCCGGCATGGTAACCATTCGGCCACATAGGCTGTTTAATATTAAACAAATTGATTAATGTTTATTTTCAACACATTATGTTCTGATCAACTGCAAACTACTACTCCAAGAATCGAAGGTCTACCATACCATAGGATGAATGATTGATTTTAACTTTTAATTTTAGATGTTAATTTTATTTTTGTTTTTGAATTTTTTAATGTGTTTAACTAATTTTACAATTTAAAAATATGTATCATAGACATCTGAAATAAATGGTTTATATTTTATTAAACAAGACTTTTGTTTGAAACTACACTTTATCCTTACACGGAAGTTAACACAAACATATTTCTTATTCACAATATAAAACTTGTTACGACAACATGCTGAGAAAGGTCTGGTGGTACCTGGAAAGGTCTGGAATTCCGTGGGGTCGTCTGCCCTTGCAAAATCCTCGAATCGAGAGCACCCAACAACGACGGTAGCAGTAAAAACACTATTTGCATGAACGTATTTCTAATAAATCTATTGCTATACGTTTTCATAATGCTCAAACAGGCAAACAAAGAAACAGGAATAACATGTAATACCGTAAATATCTTCTAAGAAACTGCTGACGTAAAGGATTAGTATGAGAAAGTTACTTGATATTGACGCTTTGGAATTTGAAGTGGGCTGATAATTTATCTCATTTCCTGATATATCGTTGATAAAATTCCGAAATTTGTGTCACCAAACATTCCCCGATCTGAAGTCGTCGTACTTATCAACGCAATTAAGGTGTTTCTTTTACATTTTTTTATAGTATTTTAACAGGTACATATTATCAAACCACAAGCACAGTTCCATTTTGCAACAATACGGTAACAAGAGTATTTTCCCTTTTAAATTATAAGCGGGGATACATAAGGAAAACAACTGAAATTATTTGAAAACATCTTTATTATATTTTCGTCAAAAAAGTAAAATTTTAAAATAAAATATTTAAACATAAGGTTTACATGCATTATTAGTGTGAAACAACGTGGCAGTACAAGGCGAATGGACGACCGGCGCGAGCACGGGCCGGCGCCGACACTCACACGTTCACACTCGCTCCACCAAACCGCTATACAATAATCATAAGAAAGTACAGAACTCAAAACGTGTGATCGACCGTAACATTAAGGGTGAAGGTATTGCTTACAAAAATTAACAATTTGTGAAATGTTGGCAGTAAAATAATTAATTAAAATGATCATAGACACGTTACTTTATCCAAGCACTTACGAGGCTCAAGCATACTTACATCTCCGATAGCTAACGCAGCGGCGGCGACGCTGCGAGCGCAGCGCCCTCTACTCTACTTCCTTATACATAGGGAATCTAACAAGGTTTTCGGCAAACCGAGAGACGCGTCTGCACCGCGCAGCGCCGCTGCCGCCCCAAGAAGACACTTTATAATGGAAATTAATTCTAGATCAATTACGTAGCTAAATTACATCTGAATCGTCGCTTCGGTAAAGAAGCAGTCGTCGCTAGAACGTCAATCACTGGGGTACCAACTATTGTAAATGCGGTTACATTCCGTCGGCTACATTTTAGTAAAGATATCAAATGCGATAATCAAATTCCGTCGTGATATTATTGATTGGTCAATTATTATTATAGACTCTAATAATAAAATATCTAAGTTTTGAATTAGCGAATCGAACGACATACATATATTTCTAGTTCAACTGAGTCTTACACTATCTCATATTTTTTTTATAAATAATTAAAATATATTTTTCAATTTGAATTTAAATACTAAAACCATAAATAGCATTCGCATTTAGAATTTAATAATAATGTATTTCATTTAATAATCGCTTCACAACAACTATACGCGGGGGTGGGACCGTACATATCGGGGAATATACTCTATGTATTATGTAATATTTGTCAATGAATAATATTTATCGAGCGATCGAACAATAAATACATTCGTACAGACCAAGGCGAACGATCTCAACACTCAATACCGAACAGTCTTAAATAACGTTTGTACGCAACAAAAATAATAACATTCGACAGTCGATCGTTCGGCGTCTACGGATTGTTGTTAGGGAAAGGTACCTCACCGGAGGCATTCAGTGCCTACGACTTACTAAAGCGCAGTTTGGCACTACAGGTAAGGTTGCATAGCAGCAATCCGTACGCCGCGGCGGACACGATTTCGTCATTAGCAAAGCTTACGGCAGCAAGCGTCGTGAGAAATGCGCGGCGTCCGTCGACCGGTACCGTGTACGGACGTGCTACGTCGACAGGACGAGACGTGCGTACTTGTTGTACGGCGGGGACCCGCTCGGTGCGTAATGAAGAACGTGTACGGGCGAACTGTCGGGCGCTCCTCGGCGGTTTAGCTGCAACGAGAATGGTCAAAGTCAAAACAGTGCGACGTCGTTTCTCGACAAATGAAGGAAGCGTTAGCTTCGAGAATGCGGGTGTTAGTAAACAGACTACACATGTACAGCGTTCAAGGTTACAACGTTAGTACGTTAGTGCAAGCGTTTATCTTTGATTAGTCACAACGATATCACGCAAGTTAATTGAACGCGGGTCCCAACGCGCTCACAGAGGGAGGAGCCGCGAGGACCGCTAGGAACGAAAACAGAGTCCCAATCAGTCTTTGGGCAATACAAACGTGCGGCCGGCAGCGAGCATGCAGCGCTAGGCCTAGGGCGAGAACAAGAAGGTGAGGGTCTCAACTGACTTCTTCTTGAGCGTGAAGAAGGAGCGGCGCTTGGGCTCGGTGCTGGGCGCCGGCAGCGTGTGGCTGCGCGCCGCGGGCGCCGCCGTGCGCGTGCGCAGCGCGTCCAGCCACCACGCCATCTCCGCCTCGTCGTGCGCCTGCAGCAGGAACTCGGCGCCCGACGCCAGCCTGCGAAGGGACGCCTTCAGCTTCGAGCCGCCTCGAGCGGCCCCGCCCCGAGCAGGCCCCGCCCTCACCGCAGCCGGAACACGTGCTTCTTCTTCGTGTAGTTGGCGGCGACCTCGACCACGGCGCCGTTGAGGTCGAGTGGCGTCTCGCCGCGCCAGCAGTTCTCGGGATATGTCTTGTAAAACTTCTGGTCCTTGTAGAACGCCATGCGCCCGTCCTTGGCGACCACGTACACTTTATCCCACGATCTGCGAGTAGACGTTCCGATCGATATCCGTATGCTTAATTGTTAAGTCTGCGACGTGGTATCGCATATATTGGGTACCTAGACGCGACTCTTAAGTCAAAATTCACTCTATGTGCGAACGAAAAAAATAATACAACAATATTAAATGCAATATGTTCGCTCTTTACGTGCGACATCGTTTTAACATGCAAAAGCCTGAAAGAGTACGACCGCAGCTTTCTAAATAATCCCACTAAGTACCCTAAATGACCAAGCGATCTCTTTCAATGTGGTTCACGCAACGTGATGGCAAATCGGACTAGAGTATTCCGTTAAGCTGCGAATCAAGCTTTTTTACAGAGCAGTATTTTTGTAGCTCCAGCTCTCCTGAGCGGAATACCTTTCCGTATCTCATACGAATACAAAATACGAAACCCGAAGCGACTTCTAAATTAAATATTATTTTCTATATGAGGTTGGGACGTCAATCAATATCAAACCTCCTACAATAGTTACCCACAAACTTTATTTTATAACCGAAAGGTATGACATTTAATTAATAAATATAATATTTGTGTAAATATATAAGTATAGCTCCCTAAAAAAAATCTATCTATTTTTCCACAATAAATATAGTTTTAAAACAGATGCAAAATAACAAATATATATAGTTTTAAAACAGATGCAATGTTAGCGACGTGTGTGCACAAACCTGTTGGAAGCGCGTTTGGCGGCGGACTCCCACTCATGTTTCCTGACGAGCATGCCTTCGATGCCCTCATCGTCGCCCGCGGGACTCGCGCCCTCTGCACATTGCAATTCAACAATTCAATACATTACCTAAATGGACGCGAAACAAATGTACCTGCAGTCAATTATATTAACAAAAGGGAATGGTGCACAGTAATCGACACTATTATCAAATAATTGCTCACAAACGCCTTTCCGAATTCATCGCACTTAAACCGCAGCCGTCTCAGTCTAAAGAAAAGTCACTCGAGATGTTTCAATTAATGTGCACGAAATATACAGGTATGAAACTAGCTGTGAACCTAACACGAGTGACAGTTTGATACGTTTCGACTTGCATTCCGAATAAAAGCCCAATTGTAAAAGTATTTATTGCAAGAACACTTTGGGGAACTCTCGATCTCATGCGCGCACAACACAATAGCACACTTAAAGCGTTTTATGCATTTTTGTGGTGTAGTTTGTAGTGGATGGATTTTTACCAAATTTTGATTGAAACTGACACTTGCACAAGGACGGCTTGCAAACGATTCGTACATAGAAACGTGATAACATTTGAGCTTGACACTTGACACTTTTTACATTTGTTAAACTATACATACACAAAATTAAATATTCCAATGTTATCAATTATCAATCACAAGTCTGAGACATTAAATAATTTTACGCACGTATTAATTGAACAGTTAGTGTAACAATTGTTTTGTAATATATTATATCGCTACAAGTATTCCTTTGTAACTACTAGTGTGACTTACAGAAAAAATGTGTATAACACACCTTGTCCACTTGGATGTAGACGTTGTTAAGTTAGGTTATATAATATATTTTCAAATTCCACATTAACGACGATATAGTTGCCATCCACTAAAAAATCTACTACCACGAGTACCTTCGTCGTCGCTGTGATGAGATTCGGCGATGTGCCTCTTGGCGGCCTTCCAGCGGAAGCTTCTGAAGGGCGACTTGCTGCGCGATCGCGACTTCACCTTACCGGAGCTCGAAGGCGTCGCCGGCGTCGAGCTCGAACCGGGCGCTGGGTGGACAAAGAGGAATGCGTGGTGGGGACGGGATGTGGGGGGATCACGTGCGTTGTTTTTTGTTTTGGTATATTTTAGTAAGTGGGAATTGTTCAAATGTGCCAGGACAGAGGCGGTCGAGGATAAGGTAGGAGAAAAAGAAAACAAAATAATTCAAAGCAACAAAAATGATAATACTGCGTGGCAGCAAAGTACAAAAGCATATTTCATGCTAAATAAAAAACTTACAAATAAACATCGAACGTATAAACACAAAAACACAGATATTACACACAGAGTTCATGCGCACACGAGCATACACAGAGTAAGTATGGTCCTACGCTAATTTCTACTCTACCTAGTTAGTTACAAGTCATAATTCATATTGCACTTTACATTGTTCGTCGTTAAGAGTATCGAACCCTAAATTCAGTCTCACTTCCAAGAAAGTTGCAATTACTCGACGACGCCATTTATGAACCGATAACTGTACCTTTACTGTCACATACCTGGCCTAAAGAACTTTGGATAAGCCGCTCGCTACGGGGCATCATGAACAGGACAAATACCTATAAAGTGCACATGAATGACGACAATGTTACCAACACTTACAGTATATGTACACTATACAGTGTCAAATCACTACGGGGTGCAGGCATACTCACTAGAAAGTCGTGCTGGTTTGGCTGGGGATTGTTTCGACGTGGACTGGCGGGAGGTTTCGCGAACCAAGGGCGGGGAGTCCACCACCGGGGCCGCTGAGGCCACCGGGGCCGCTGTGGCCACTGGGGTCGCTAGCGCCACTGGGGCCGCCGCGGGGGCGGGGACAGGGGCGGGGCTAGTTTCTGCATGCGTCATACATCTACGTGCTATTAACACTACTCTACAGTACTACATGCAAACATGCTATTAATCTACGGATACAGACATGCGGACTATTTATGCGTATTTCACGTGCACTGGATATGATGGGCCTTTTTTATCTTGCATTGTTTTTAATAATGTTCATGACGTGATGGCAAAGTTATTATCCAGTTTAATATAGTCTGAGTCTCTCCTGTTGTTTTATTGTAATAGGTTAAATTGAAGGTCAAACTAAGCCCGTTGACAGATAATACACATACATAGTCTTAAATTTAAATTAACACATCCATGATAAGAATGTTTGGTGTAGAGCCAACCGATACTACCGCTGGAGAATTAGTGAATCTATGTAACTATGTACATACTACTAGTAACCCTACTACGGTATTTACCCGAGTTCACAAATACTTTTCAAATCCCGTTATTTACGGGTAATTGTCAAAAATTTACAGATTTATCTGATGAAGTTATAGAATGAAATTACACTAAATATTTCCACCAAAACCTGCTTACATCAAAGTTAATGATACCCAATAAGCAACATTAAATAAACACAGAATAAACATGAAATTAATTCAAATATTTAAAACATTGAAATCGACATACAAGCAATATTCTCTTTTCATCAAGTAATAATAAACTAAGATAAGCTATGGACAAAGCACAAAATAAGTAAATAAATATATAGATAAGAATAGCTAAGAGAAGCAAGAAGTAGCCGATACCTACCTTGTAGACAGCTTCTTAAAAGAACAAGCACGAGACACTTTTAAGACAGGTTTGTACAAGATTAGATTACAATAAAATTCATCTCCAATTTACCAACATTTATTTGCAGTTCTGAATCTGAATGTACTATGATAAGAATTTTGTACCGAAATGATAGCGACAGAAAATTCTCTTTTGTCCACATTTCTTCTACTATTAAATTTCCGAAGCCGGCGAATTAAATGATAGAATTGCAAATATGGTAAATTATCAAAGATGAAGAAACAAACATACAAGACATACAAAGTAAAAGAAGAGTATCAAACCATCACCGTGATTAGCTTACAGCCACGGAGTACGTACAGTAATAGATATTTCTGACATAATAATATAAATATTTATAGATAGGAACATGAAACCTAATTAATACATATTTGATGAGATCGAAGGAATGAAAATGTTAATGAATATACATAATTGAAATGAAAAATGTTTGACAATGGTCATCTTTGTGATAGAGAACTTCATGAAATTAGAAGTGATGTCAATTATTATTAATTTCCGTACGTTGTTTTAAAAGGACCGTACCATGCGTTTGTGTGTGACACAATGAAAATGCGCATAAATATGTACTGAGTAATGCGACTAAAGTGCGAGCCACTCAACGCCAAGTTACGGCACTGCCCAATGTCAGGCGTTCAGCCTGAATGGACGTCGTCGACGACGATGTTGATGATGATAATTCGAAAGAAATAAACCATCACCCGTTACGATGAAACGTGAAATGTAGAGAACATGATATCGTGCAGCAATAAAGAAAATAGTGCTAGACCCAACTACTGAAAAAAAAAACTACGTAAAAACAAATCCTAGACGAATAAAATCCCGTGTATAAACAGTAAAAGCTTTAGCTACAAATTAATCACAAATCTATCCCACGACTGTAAATACGTTTCGAGCGCAATGTGACCCGCCAAAATTTAGAAGACACCCGTTTTAACATCTACTTCGTAAGCTCATGCGTGTAGCCGGGTATCTTTTTACATCGGTAGAATAGTAAGCGCTCTGTTTACCTGGCTGGGAATGCGGTCGTTCTTGGGCCTTCTCAGCCGCTTTAGTGGATGTTCTCCTTACGACTACGCGAGTGCATGTGTGGACAACACATCGATAAGTAATCGTCCCTTTTTGTTTTACACGACACACTCGATCGCTCTAAGAAATCGGACAGTAGATCGAGAATCAGTGTTAATCCTCTCTCTCCAATTGTAAGCGCACGTCTCGCGTTTTACCTAATTTTGAGTCCGAATTTTTAAAGCGACAGAGTGTGTAATTATAAAAGGGGATATCATATGAAATTCACACTTAAAGCGGCAAGCGATGCCGGAAGCCTCTTTGGCTACGTCGCTGTGCGCTAGGTGCTTTCGTCGTTTCGACTTTACTTGTTTATTTTCGACTTAATTAATATGAACTGTTAACAAGTATCACTGCAGTCTGCAAGCATCTTTCGCCGGTCATCGGTGAAAGTGTTAGTTCTTCGTCTCGTATTACTTCGACAGTGCTAGAAGACATTTCGCATGCGTGCTCACTTGCAATTCGTGATCGAAGTGTTAATTTAGAAAATGTCGACTCTGTGTTTTTGATTCCGATATATTTCGTCGTCGAGAAGCCTACGTTTGCAACCGAATTAGCACCGCGCTCTGTCGGCGGTCGATCCGGAACGGAGCTCGCCCGCGGGCGGCGCTGCTGAACCGACCTCGAAGAGGACTAGCGGCCGGCGGGCGAGCTCCGTCGCGCGGGGTGGCGGGGTGGCGGGGAGGCGGGGAGGTGGGCACGCACCTGGCGGCGGCTGGTCGGGCGAGCCCGCGCGGTCGACGGCGTCGCGCGCCGCGGCGGCCGCGGCCTCGGCCGCCTCCCGCTCGCGCTTCTCGCGCTCGGCCGCCTCCGCCGCCTCTTGCCTTCGCTTCATCTCCTTCACCTCGAACTGGAAACCACAATCGCGCTTTTACTACGCACGCTCTTCTCGGCCGAGGGTTATTCGCAATGAGCGGGCCGTTAGTCTGTTCCCGTTGATGCGTGTTAGATTCGACAGCTATGCGAGGCTGACAGGTTCAAAACGTGGTGTACGGGGTGTAATCGTTCAGTGCGCCCGGGCGATTGTTCCATAAATATAAGAGATATTAAAAAGCTTTAAATTGGTATCGAAGGTAAATCGACATCAATAACTTTTTTTTTTAACAAAAACTGGAAATATCCGAAATCTTCACAATAAGTTTACAGATAACAAAACAGCTATAAATAAAGTAATAAAAATCTTTTAATTGAACAAAAGTTTGACCAACTTCTTCTGTCCCGATTTTTTTCGTCTCGTACAATGAAATGACCCTTACATGAAACTGAGGCGATCAGCACGAAACAAAATTTGATCATTTTTATTCATTTTTATGGACAACTCGCACTTGACCAAATAATTGACTATGCCATTATATTTTCATTCAATTAAAATATGCTTTTATTACTTTATTTATACCTATTTTGTTATCTGTAAAGTTATAGTTACCTCTTAAAGTAGTAGACTAAAGCCTCTTTACAAACGTCACGTTAAATTTATGGGAGCATTTAATGTTAAATTTGAATATTTCCAGTTTTATTTAAAAAAAATATTCATGTCGATACACCTTCGATGTCAGTTTAAAGCTTTTTAATATCTCTTGTATTTGCCGAACAACCGCCTGGGCACACTTGACGATTACACCCTGTATATCCCGGCTTCGTTTCCAGGCAAAAGTGTTTTTCTATAGCTAAACTTGTACAGACATCATAACGTTCACTTCGTAAAATTTATCTAGACATTTTATAAAAACCGCAGCCATATATAAATTTGTACGTAAAAATTACAAATTGAAAAATGTCACTGCTCCTGAAACAGCAAACAATCGTAGCACACAAAAATAGGCCATGCGAAAGGTTTGATTTCAAAGCAAAGCTTCATATGACCAATCACCGCACTTACACAATCCAAGTAGTTAAAGTACCATGCACCGTCCGGTACTAGTTTTCGGGTTTGGGAAAGCAGAAGGAGAGAAGAGTTTAAGGGAACAAACTTAATATCTTTGCCTAAATCGTTGACAGCTCTGTTGCTGCTTGTGAGGCCTGGCAGAGACAGCACAGCTACGTCGCCTTTCGTGTCCGAGTCGTTGGATCGGTTACTTTTACGGGAGAACTTATTCATTATTCGTTTTAGACTACCAGTTTTAGACGAACTTACACTGTTATGCCTCAACAAGGTTAAATTCGGATATACGAGTTGGTAGGATAATCTTTCCCAAAGTATAAAGTCAATACAAGCAAGATTGATGTTCGGTTCTTCAGTTTCAACTGTGTACTCGAAGAAAACCGAGCTATAGATATCGGGAGACATTGGGGTACCCAAAGGTGTGTTGGGTGGACTGCTGATCTCCGATATTGTAGACAAAGTGTTATTTGTAACTACGGACCACAGGAAAGAATCATTTTTATTGAGCTCATCTATAGATTTCCGCCTATATTTCTCTGGTATATTGAACTTGCCACTGTTTAATATTATATCTTCGACTATTTCGGCTACGGGTGGTTCATTTTTTACGATGATTAAAGGTTCGATAGGGTGTTTAGTTTGGGATACAGGAGCAGTGTAACAGGTTAAGGTTTCCTCATATTTTTCCCAAGGCTGTGCATTAGGCCACAGTGTCGTTGCACGCCGCTCTAGCTACGTGTGGATTAGAAAGAAAATAATTAGATAAAAAAAAGAAAAGCCTAAATCATGCAGTAGATTTGCATTGTACGAGGCTGATAAGTAACTTTTTGGTCTCTCGTCGTTCTGTTAGATTCTCCGAAGGGTCAATTTTTGGACAACACGAATATTAGTTGTCTACTTTGGCATCACAATTCAAAGGTCAAGAAGTGACTTGTCAGCTTCTAATAAGGTCCAAATCAAGCAGGAAAGTATAGACATCACATGAATACATACAAATATACCCCAATGTACAGTCAACAGTGAGCATCCGGTACATTATTTACATCCGTATGCTCGTCGTAGCGAGTGACAACTTTAGTTTCATAGTGTTCTAGCTCGCAAATCCATTACATCCTTACGGACGAATTGCACGCAGCAGGAAGCTCCATACTCACGGTGGTAAGCCTCTGCAGCGCGCTGAAGCGGTCCTCCTGCGCGGCGGCGGACTTCTCGAAGGCCTCGTGCTTCTTGATGAGGCTCTCCACCTCGTCGATGGTGTGGCCCAGCTCCTGCGACATCAGGTAGGGCTCCTGCGCGATGAGCCAGGCCTCGGCCACCGCCGCGTCGCGCGCGAACTGGTACACCTCCAGGACTGCGGAACGAGGGCCGGGCGTTCAGCGGGCGCGGGCGCGGGCGCGGGCGCGGCGGCGCTCGGGCGATACTGACTGAGCTGCAGGTTCTCCCAGCGCTCCTCCCAGCGGCGCAGCAGCGCGGTGCGCTGGTCGGTGAGCTGCAGCAGCTTCTCCTTGATGTCGGCCGAGGCGTAGTGCTGGCGCGCCAGCAGCTCGCGGCCCAGCGCGATGCAGGCCGAGAAGGAGTCCTCGCGCGCGTCGATCTCGGCCTTGAGCGACTGGTGGTTGTTCATGAGCAGCTCCACGCCGCTGACGTCGCGCGGCTTCTCGCCCGTGTTCATCTGGCGCACCACGTCGTCCATCCACAGCGCCAGCGTGCGCACGCGGCCCAGGAACTGCTGCAGGCGGTCGGCGTCCTCCAGGCGCCGGCGGCGCGCGGCGCAGGCGGCCTGCAGCGCGGCCCAGGCGTCGGCCACCTCGGCGGCGCGGCGCGAGATCTCGGCCGCCTTGTCGCCGGCGTAGGCCGCGCCCAGGCGCGCGCACTCCGCGCCCACGGCCTCCACCTGCTGCTGCAGCGTGCCCAGGTCCTGCATGAAGTTGTGGTGCTTGCGCTGCAGCGCGCCCACGGAGATGGCGTCCCGCCCCAGCTCGTCGCTGACGCCGCGCGCCTTCTCGCTCACGCGCTGCAGCGCGTCCTTGCAGTCGTGGAAGTACTTGTGCAGCTCGCGCGACGCGGCCAGCATCTGCGTGCGCGTCTCGATCAGCTCCAGCAGGTCCTGCCACGTCTCCTTGAGCCCCTCCTTCCACTGCGCGATGGTGGCGTTGTCGGAGTGGCCCGACGCGATCATGCGGTCGGCGATGCGCTCGGCCGTGGCCACGCGCTCCGACCCCACGGCCTGCGTCTCGCGCGCGAACTCCTTGAAGCGCTCCCACAGCAGCTGCGGGCGGAGGGCGGAGAGGGGAGGGTCAGTCCCGCGGCCGCGACGCCCGGGCGCCGGCGCGGCCGCGCTCACCGTCACGTGGTCGTAGTCCTGGCCCAGCTCCTGGCTGGAGGCGACCAGCTCCCGCTCGGTGATCCACTGCTCCAGGTCGTCCACCTCGCGCGACAGCTGGAACAGCCGCAGCGCCTCGTCCAGCTTCGCGCGCCGCTCGCCCGCCAGGTCCTTCAGCCCGGCGTACAGCTTGTCCACTTGCGACTGCTTCACCGAGATTTGTTCGCTGCGACAGGTAATTTATTCAAGGCACGGGATAAATCTTCTCGCATGGCGACAGAGACGACCGACAAGGAGACGCACCAAAAAGAACAATACCCACTTTGGAAGCGTCCGATCGTATTAGTAATTACAGCAAACTAGTGGACTCATTTCACAAAAAATAACTGAATACCATGGTGACAAAACATCCTGACATTCAATAGACTTAATTATTAATAACCCCAAAAAGAAAATATTGCCTAAATCAACTTCCCTACAAATTCCCTAGTTGTTGTAGTTAAAAAAATATAAACTCAGTATAATTAGAACCTGTACTTGTGATTGAAGGAAAATTGGGCATTATTCTTTACTAGGAACTGAAGAAGTAATACTGACCTAAGAGGATGTTCCTCGCTGGTGAGTTGCCTAACCGTCTCTCCGAGCTGTCGGATGGTCTGCGCGTAATCGTCGACGGCTTGCTCCAGAACTTCGTGTTTCTTCATTAAATTCTGCGCCGAGATCTCATCCTATGCAAAAAAAGAATGTAATAATAAATTACAAAATTTTATCACTCTAACAACAATTATAGTACCATCGCAAATGATTATCTAAAAAATCTTCAACAAGCGATTGCAAAGTGCTATTAAAAAGGGCCCAAATCTATCTTTCTTATCTTTAATCTTACCTTGCCACGGTCTTCGACCATCATGTAAAGTTCCTGCTCGCTCATCCAGGCCTCAGCTTCGTTCGCGTCGAACATGTACTGGTGAGCTCTCTCCCATTGGGCCAGGTTGTTCTTGCGTTGTTCGATGGCGTCTGTCGCATTCAAGTAGGATCATGATTAACATATTTACGTATGGGTATACGGACAACCAGATTTGGAAAAATTTCAATAATAAATTTAGAACTAAACACGCAGTGTTTGGCCCAAATTTAGAGTATAAATTATTTTTTACCCGTGTTGTACTAAACGAGAAACGATGAGGCTCACCTTTAAGTTCTCGCCACCTCGCAGACAGTTCATCAATAAGCCTCTTGAACTCGGGCGAATCCTCATGGCCCTCATCAATCAGCTTCTGTCCATTGGAGATGACAGTCAGTATTCTCGGCTCGTGGTTGTCGGTCTCAGTCTTGAGCGACTGGTTCTTCTTTTGCAGCATTTGTACGTTGAACAGCGAGTTTCCGTAGTCAGTGCTGCTCGCCAGAGGCAACTTTTCATGGATCCAAAGTTTCTCATCCTCGACGTCGCGGCGGAATTGGAATGCCTCCTTCTTCTTGGCCAACTGGCGTTGACGATCGAGCAAAGGAGCTTTGAGCTGCTCGAACCTCTGTTCCACAGATTTTTTCTTTTCTTTGATCTCTTCAATCTTGTCAGGCACCGTCTTCTGCAGATACTCAGCCTGCGTTTCGAGTTCGGTAACCTGCTTCGCTTTCACAGCCATCTGAGTCTCGATCATCTGTTGCTTCTGCATGAGAATATTTACAGACGCCAGATCAGTGCCGGTGTCGGAGTTCTCGATTTGTTTCTCGAGTTCGTTCATCCACGAGTCAATGTCGTCGCAAGTTTGGTGTAAGAGGACCTCGCGGTTCGCGTCGAACAGACGCTCGCCCTTGTCCTTTGTAGTAGTTTGGAGGTTCTCGAACTGATCTTGGAGCTCGGCCATTTTGGGCGAGATGATTTCGACGAATTCGGGCTTCTGTTTCATCAGTTCCTCAGCAGCGTTCTGGACGGCGAATAGACGTTCTTTGTTAGCAGCAATTTCGGCCTCGAATGCCTGGTGGCGGGTCCATTTCGAGTGAATAGTCTTGGCATCGCGGTAGGTATCGTCCTCGGCGGTGACTTTCTTTTCCTGCACCCATTCGCCGAGTTCATCGCAGTCTTGTAGGAATTGATGGAGCTGTAGTTGATCTTGAAGCTTTTCCATGAGCTGCTGAGCCTTCTCCTTGTTGGCGTTGCGTCTCTGCTCAATACTGTCGGCTTTGCGTTGGATCTTGTCGGCGTCGAAATGGCGCTCTTCAACGAGGCGGTTGGCGAATTGCACCACGGAGTTGATTTTGTCGTCGTTGGCCTCCATCGTCGTGAGGAAGGCCTCGTGCTCCTTGATCAAGTTTTCGGCTTGCTCCAAGTTTGTTGGCGGCTCTGTCTTCGCTAACCTGAAAGAAAAACGAAATTATTTCTGCTCAATAAATGAAACGCTTTATTAATCGGAAATGGGATCTGGAAATTATTATCAAGACTTGCATAAGCAGCATTGAATAACGTTCATCGCGCGGTTACGTATTACAACATGACAGATTTTTTACCGATGTTCCTGATGCGACAGCAGCACTTCGGCCTGTCTGGCGTCGCGTTGTAAAAGCTGTAGCTCCAGGCTCTGCGTCAGCAGCTGCTGGCGGTTCTCCCACATCTGCTGTAGTTCAGCCCATCCCTCGCGAAGTGCCTTTAGGCGCTCGCGCAGGAACATGTACTGTGGGTCGTCTTGAGTGGACGGTTCCTGTACGGAACGATACGATAAGATGCAGATACGACTCGGAAAAAAGATACTAATAGTTTCAAGCATGAACTTGTCAAATTATCGCTTTTCAAGTTTTCTATTTAAAATTATCGCTGGTCTTTCCATATTATCGTTTACTGTACGCTGTTTGAAATATGAAAATACTCACGGCAGTGATCTTCTCGCCGTACTCCATCATCTTTGCGAACTCGTCGCGGTAGTTGTCGATCTCCTCCTTGATGGTCTGGTGCTGCGACAGCAGCTTCTCCGCCTCCGGCAGACTCGACGGCGTGTCTGAGAATACGTAAATATTGTGGTTATTTTCCAGTTCGCACAGAACACAGAGACCGGCCGCTGCAGCCTCCGAAGCGATCGACACTCACCTTCGGAAGCCACGTCGGTCTGCGTCTTGGTGAGCCAGGCCTGGAAGTGGTCGACGGAGCGCAGGAAGCGGTGCAGATCGCCCGCCTCCTCCAGCTTCGAGTCGCGTTCTTTGAGCTGCAAAAGCGCAGAAGATTCAGCGCGAGCCGGTCGCGAGGGCGCCTTCGCAGCGCAGCGCGGCACCGACCATCTGCGTGAGCTGGTCCCAGTTGTGCGTGATCTGCTGCACCCGCTCGCGGATGAGCTGCGCCTCTTCGGGGTGCGTGTCCTGGATGGCGCTGGCCTCGCTCTCCAGCGACGAGATGCGCGCCTGGATGGCGGCCAGGTCGCGCTCCATGCCCGACAGGCGCCGCTGCAGCGTCATCACGCCTGCAACCGGCGCGTCAGCTCAAGGTCGGCGCGGACGCGTCTGCGCCGACCTTGAGTCCCGCTACTGACCGTTCAGGTCCATCTCCAGGTTGTCGGTCTGCTGCAGGATCCTCTTCTTGTCTTCGATCCACGAGACGGTCTCGCGGCACTCGATGTGGAACGTCTGCACGCCCTGCGCCGATTTCAGCTCGTCCTTCTTCGACTCCGCCTGCGTGGTGCGCGTCGCGATTAGATCAAATTCGTCGTTTCAATACGCGGGAGCCAGATTAAACGTCGAACGGAGTATCGTCGGCCGCCTCGCGACTGAAAAATTGTAATCGCTCGGCGGAAGTCACCTTTTCCCTGAGCCTGGTCCAGGCGTTGTTGAGCGCCTGCTGCCGCTCCTGGATGGCCGGCGCCTGCGGGTGCTCCACGTGGATGAGCTGCCGCGCCAGCTGGTTGACCACGGCCACGCGCGACGCGTTCGCGTTCATCTCCTTGTCGAAGCCGTCGTACCTGCGCAGAGACGTCGGTGTCAGGTGGTGCTGGCGGCGCCGGTGCTGGTGCGCCGGCGGGGGCGGGCACCTGTGCTTCATGATCTCCACGTCGTCGATGTCCTTGGGCGGCAGCATGGTGTCCAGCATGCGGTCCTTCTCGGCGATCCACTGGTCGGCGGCGTCGGCCTCGGCCAGCAGCTTGAAGAGCGACAGCGCGTCCAGCAGCCGCTGCTTGCGCAGGCGCGCCAGCTCCACCAGCTCGCCGTGGCGCGCGTCGATGGCGGCCAGGCGCTCGCGCACCTCGGCGCTGTTGGCGTCCTCGGGGCTCAGCTCGCTGGCCTGCTGCTTGAGCTGCTGGATGACGTTGGCGTAGTTCTTCAGCTCGTCCGTCACGTCCTTGTGCTTCTTCAGCAGGCTCTGCACTTGCGCCTCGTCGACGCCCGTGTCCTCGGACGACACCAGTCTGGGGAACGGTCGAGTCATTTCCAGTCACTACAGCAGCTAGACACAAAGTATGATACGGTGCGACACTTTCACCGAACGCCCGTTCAAATAATTGTTTCAATTCCGATTAGATCTTTCTAGTGGCGACTGGCTAATAGATCGACAACACCGCTACTCTAGTTCTGTTACCCAATTCCCTACTTGTTTTTTAGAGTTCCGTAATCAAACTAAAATGAAAAAAAAAATATTAACCTGAGCGTATCAAGCATCCAGTTGTCGATGTCGTCAGCGTCAGCGAACAGCTGATGGTAGCGCACGGCGGCGTCCAGTCGGTGCTTGCGCAGCGACACCACGTCCAGTAGGTGGTTCCACTGAGACAGGATGTCCCGGAGTCGCTCCTGTCGAGCAGGTGTAGTTACACAGAGGTCTGGTACGAGTATAGTTCAGAGCACCAGACAGCAGGCAAGCGGGCGGGACCGACCTGGATGCGATCCGCGCCGAAGTGGCCCTGCGAGACCAGCTCGTCGCCGACGGCGGCCACGGCCATGAGCTGCGGCTCGTGCGCGTGCGCGCTGGCCTCCAGCGCGCGGTGCTTGGACACCAGCAAGTACACTGCAAACGGACTCTTGTTCACTGGGGTCAGGTCAGGATCCAACGGGGCCCACCGAGCGGCACTCACCCGTCGTCAGGTCGTGGCCGATGTCGTCTACGGAGACGATCTGTTCCTTCTCCTTGATCCAGTTCTCCTCGTCGGCCATGTCCCAGTAGAACTGCCACAGCTTGCGGCTGTCTTCCAGGCGCTTCCTGCACGACGCCAACGTTACATTTAACAGAACGAAAGCGCCACAGTTCGTTTACTGGCACACTGAACCCTCAAGATTTTAGAGAATTAAAAATTATCTTTTTATTGCGTTGAAACACTTCCCACAAAATGCTTCTACTGGCTTGTTTTCTAAGAAAGAACGTCCCCACAAGTACGGTCCTGACCTGCGCTCCACCGCCAGGTGCACGAGCTCGGCGTAGGCGTTCTCCAGCTGCTGGATGCGCTCGACCGTGATGGCCGGATCGCACGGCCGGTAGCCGCCCTCCTCCTGTTCCAGGAACCGCTGCGACTGGCCCACCACCACCTGCGAACGAGTTCATCGCGGATAAAACTCTACATCCTTAAAAATGTTAGTGTTTCATTCAATTTACCATAACTAACGGCCTTTTAAGGATTTTTTTCTAATTGCGCGCAGGTTGCGACGTTAATTACTATTAAAATAGCCAACTTGTAGTGTTCGTTAGCGGCAAAGACGCACCTTGACGCGTTCTCCTAGAACGTTGATGTCGGCCTCGACCAGCGCGTGCTTCTGCAGCAGGTCCTCGACGCCCATCAGGTGTTTGCCGTAGTCGTCCGTCAGCAGACGCAGCTTCATCTCTTCCATCGAGTCCAGGATGTACAGCATTTCCTGGGCGGCACGTAAAAGGGTTAACAGAAAACGGCACAGAGAATATCGTGGCGGTAGTTCTTTCGTTTGTCACGACGCGGGGAGAGAAGCCGACGAGTGAATCGGCGGCGTCGGCATCGACAGGAGTTGTTGCCGAGCAGTCCGCCAGTACCTGGAAGTTCTGCTGCAGCTGCAGCGAGAGCTCGAGGCGGGCGCGGCGCGCGCGCAGCAGCTCCAGCAGGTAGGCCCACAGGCGCAGCACGTTGTCGCGCCGCGCCGACACGCGCTCCATGTCGTGGTACCTGCCGGACCAGAGGGTCAGTGGGGGCGGCGGGGGCGGCTGGGGCGGCGGGAGGGGAGGGCGAGGGGCGGGCGCACCTCTCCGCCTGCAGCTCCGAGCACACGGCCACGACGGCCTGCACGCGCTCCTCGTACGCGAAGATGTCGGTCTCGATGGCCTCGTGCTTCTTGGCGGCCGCCTCCACCGCCGCCAGGTCGAAGCCGAAGTTGTCCTGGCTCACCAGGCGCTGGTTCTCCGACAGCCAGGTCTCGCGCATTTGCGCCTTGCGGTTGAACCTGCAACGAGTCCGCGTTCCCGTGAGAGGGGCCGCGAGGGCGAGGGGCAGGGGCCCCGGGCCGCGGCGGCCGCGCCGTACCTGGCGGCGAGCTGCTCCAGCTTCTCCTGGCGGATGAGCTCCTCGCGCAGCGCGAGCTCGCGCTCGTGCTCGGCCTTCTCGAGCCGCTCCCAGGCGCGGTTGATGTCGTGGATCATCTTGCCCTCCTTGGGCGTGTACGGCTTCTGGTTCGCGGCGCGCATGCGCGACTGCAGCGTGAACAGCAGCACTTCCAGGTTGCCTTTCTCCACGAACCTGTGAAAAATTGGACCGCGAGCGGTCATTGGAGCGCTAGGATTCATAAACTACTAATGTGCGAAACGGAGAACGTGCACTCACTTGGGCGGCTTTTCGACGGTGCGATAATTAGCGAACTGAATGAGCTGTTGGCGCACGCCTTCCAACGAGTTAGCGAACGTCCTGTCGCCCAGAGCGTCGATCGTGCGCTCGATCCACTGCAGAAGGTCGCTGGAATACAACGTTTCGATTACGGCTCTAGCTTAAAACAATACGACGATCTCCGATACAATAGTAAATACTCAACAACAATTATGAAACCTTACCTGGTGAGCGACTCGTATTCCTGCATCATTTTCTCGTTTTCCATGGCGATGCCGACGACCTTGCCGATCCTCTTGCCCTGCACGGTCTCCTGCTTCATCTTGCTGAAGTAGTGGTAGTACGTCACCACGTACGTGATGATCGACTTCTCGTCGGGATGGTCCACGGCGATGTCTGACGAGCAAATAATTGAAAAAATACATGACGGTACAGAATCGAAAATAGAACTGAAGCGTCTACAATTGACCTCTTTTACTCGTACATTTAATATCAAACCATTGTTCGACACATAGAGAGAGCGCGCCGGGGTCGGCTGTAACATGTTGGCACGCAGAAACGCACGTTGCCTAGATCCGTTAAAGTTATACTTCCAATCTTCGCAGAAGACAATCTACGGCTTACGCGTTCAGTACAAGTCGTTGCGTTGGAGTTGCAACGGTGCTGCAGCCGTTGTTAAAAGGAGGGCTGCCTTGACGATAAGCCGTATCTATTGCAGTATAAATGGCATTTTCCGCGCTGTGCCTGATCGAATCAACTGTCCGATCATGTTACAATGTACAAGACTGCACTCAGAATTGAAATAATGCTTTTCTTGTCTTTATTTTTTTTATTGGCCCCACTCATGGAAAACCCGTAACACGAGTGCCATGGATATACACATGGACAGCCACAAATTACACCCAAACTCACGAGAGAAATAAATATAGGCCATACAAATATTTCTCCCGGTCCGGAAATCGAACCCGAAAGAGGCAATTAATAATTTTATAAATGTCTTGATGGGACTTTGAATATTATTATGGACCATACGATCTGAAATAAATGATTTAAATTGGGAACATGTTTTTAGTACACACATCAAAAGTGTCTAGGAATCAAACAATCTTCTGCCAATTAATGACTATCAGGATGTGTGTACTTCAGTTGTGATATTCCCTCACCTTCGGCATCCAACAATTTTGTAAGTCCAAGTTTTTCCTCTGCAACGTTGAAGGCATTATTTAAGTTATGTATAGGGTTGCTCCTGTGAAGCTTCTCAAACTGAATGAGATCAGGTCTGTGTTTGTGAATGATGGCGTTGAAGGCCAATCCGTCTCGCCACGAGGTGGTGAAGTTGCGGACGTTCACGTTATTGTAGCCGGCTGTCTTCATTTGACACCATAACAGCAGGGCGTCTTTTGCGGATTTTGTTTCCTTGTTATCTGTCTCTTCGATAGTGATGTCTTGAATCTGGAATTAAATGTTTGTTTTATGTTAGGCAAAGTTAAACAGACAAAGTTCATTGTTGAACATATTCGAAATTAAGATTAACTCATATATCTGGGACAATCATTAATATCATAAAGTAAAAGATTTTTAACGAATTTGATTCTATGCAACTGGTAGTGCAACACATTGTGATCTAATAAGTGAATTTAGTAAAGTTCCCTTTTGTGCTTCACTAAGACGCTCAATACTTTTGCTTCACTTACCTGGAAGCGCAGAATAATGGTCCAAATGAGTCCGAGATTTAACCTCGGGTTTCCGTCCACGATGTCATGAGAGCCCATGTTCTCTAAGTGTACGCGCTGTTCTCGCAGGAACTGCAGCGCCTTGTCTACGTTTTCCAGGCAATGAATTCGCATCTTGCCTTTCGTTGGACGAGGCTAAAGACAATAAGAAAATTATATGCGTATTAACATTACATTTTAATGGAAATCCCTTCTAGTGAATTGTAAAATCGTGGCAATCGATTGTCCGTCAAGGTCACATTCTTTCGACTTTTGCAATGTGGTAAACGAACTAAATTTTATTGAAATTGCACGTCAAAACCAGGGTGTAAAATATATTTTTTTCTTTTTCAAATTCCAAGGTAAGTAACCATCATCATCAACCCGTACGTTCCACTGCTGGGAACGGCTTTCCTCTCAGGCGAGGGTTTAGGCTGTAGGCCACCACGCCGGCCCGATGCGGGTTGAGGACTTGACACGTTATTTGTGTACCTTCTTCGTCGTACAAGTTTCATCACGATGTTTTCCTTCACCGAAAAGCTCAAGGTCAATTTCAAATTAAATTTCGCAATTAAATTCCGAAAAACTCAGAAGTGCGAGCCCAGATTCGAACCCATGTCCTCCGCTTGAGAGGCGGTAGGTGAAATCGTTAGGCTACCATGCTTGTCTTTGTCTTTTTAATTAATAATGTTAGGTATAACAAATAGTTACCAGTCTCTCTCCAGAGAGGACCTCGAGAAGTTTGATGAGCATCTTGCCATCCCTCATGTCCACATAGAGATCGCCGATGCGGCACCCCACGCGCACCAAATGTGAGTTCACCCATTTTTGAAAAGTCTTCTTCTGTACACTCTCTCGTTCGTCTGTGAACCACGACATACCATTTTAATACATTTTTGGTTACATTTTGATCTTTGTATATTCATCAAAGTGTATTATAATTGTTGCTAAAAATAACAGTACCGTAAGAGTTAAACAATTAAGATATATCCATTTCATGTATTTAAAAAATTATTTCGTTCATATATAAATGATACACGGTGGTTTAAACTTAGTCTATGAGATCTCATCTATCAATTAATATTTTAGTTCAAATGTGATCGAGCAGTTGTAAAATAAAGTCCAACAATTATCGGACCTGAAAGGCCATTGAAAAAATGCACATAATACACAGTACTCATATCAGTAGAGAGAAAGATCAAAAGAAATGTTAACACAATAACCGCCAGTGTGGTCGACCGCGGCGCGGGGACCAGATCGGCGGCGCTTCTGACCGCCAGTCGTCCGCTGGCGAACACATCGCGGTCAGTCCTGGCTCTGAAGCGTATTGGGTTCGGAAAACAATATGTGTCATTTGAGATGGATATTAAATTACGTATTACGTACGCACGCTTTAGAGCGTAAAGCACCGGTCAAGTATTGCCCAGAGACAGTTCTTAATGAGGACTGATCATTGTGTTTATATCAGATTAATTATTAATTATTGGCCAGATTAACCATGACTGGAGCGTGAAATATTAGCCAAAAACAATTACTTCGAGCTACCATAAATAGGATGACAAAGTTTGTAAAATCCGTTCTATAATTTAAAACAAATATAAACAATCGCAAGAATTCTAGGAAAGTTCCTCTTTCCTTCCTTCATTGTTCCTTGGATCTTTTATAAAATCTGTACCTCATTATTTTGGTATAAAGAATATAAGGAAACTTACTAAAATTATGTATGTGTGTTGGTGCGCTATTCCGATTAAATGCATAAAAACTTTCATATTTTATCGAGAAGAAATTAGATCGCACGGAGTGACCTCGTAAAACGTCGAGTTTTACGATGTGTTAAGCAAGCAAACACTTGTATCTAACAAAATGCATCACTCGCAGTGCGGTAATAATGTATCGTTAATCGTTCTCCCATAAGGAAAACTTAAGTAAGGCACATGAGCAAAATTGTATCCCATAAATAACTTAACAATGGTTCCTACATCCTGTGAAGTCACTGACAGTATATTTTACGATATATATTATTTTTTCTTTAAGCAAATTGAATTCCTTTTAAATAAAAGCAACATGAAACTGACTTTCTAACTGAAATAAAAATAGATAAACTGATGGCTAACTCTTTATGTCAATAAAGAATTCACTCTAACCAAGTCACAATTTAAGATGAAACATGAGGTACCACAAAACACTAACCTCTCAGCTCAGTCACAACTTTGTCATAATATACTTCCAAGCCGGGCACCTCAATGTCCACACCCTTCTTAATCAAATCGTAGCACTCGGAGGTGGCCATGTTGAGGCAGACATATCACTAACACTGACTGCAAATCCCTTCCCGGCGAAAGAGGAAGGAATTAGAGCGTCAAAACTTGACTGGACGCTCAACAAGGATATTCGATATCACTGGTACAGAGTTTGTCAACCTTGGGCTTGTTTAACTAAGTAACTACAGTTTTCTTTGTGGCAATACAAGAACAAATACAAAGCTATCGTATATGTTGCTCATACAAAGGAATCAGTAGAAAATATTGCAATCGTATCTAAGTCTCGTAAATATCATGTTCATATACGTGCGTGTAATATCGTGTGCACTACTATAGGTAGGTTAACAAGAAACTTTTTTTTTATTTGAAGTTTTATCCAAAACACCACAAAATCTTCTCCATGTTAATTTATGAACACTTTTAATCGCACAGTAATTAATGTAATCTACAGTTGAAATTTATTCCTCAAAACGTGTTGGTAACTAAGAAATAAGCAATCAAAAAGAACGCGTCTTTACGATTGATAAACTGATTCGTGGAGTAGGGCGAGTGGGCAGATAACGTGTTTACATCACTGATAGTGATAAAGCCACTGTGTTAAGACAAGCGTATTTCGGTTTATACATTGAAGACACGACTGATAATTTAGCCCTTGGCGGATGGTTTAACCTGGCCTAGTGAAGATTACTATTCATGATAGATAATAAACATTAAGCTCCAGAAATAACCTGTCGGTAAATAAATATTTTTCTTTATTATGTATTTTTTCCAATATCCTTTACAAAAGAAAATAACTGCTTGAAATAATGTTGTATTATTGGAAATACTTGATCAACATCAAAACCCACATAGCACTGCCGGACCCGAGCCTCATTTAAGGAGTGTTTAGGCTACAGCCTGTCAAGCCGCTGCCGCAGGCCAACGCTCCGGTTGGGGCCTGGGCACGTTTTCCAAAGATTATGAATTTTCTTCAACTTGCAGGTATCATCATGTTTTTTCTTTTACCGTCAGTGAGAGATATTGCTACTAAACATTCACAAATGCACGTAACTTACAAATTGAATTAAAAACTTTATTTTATATATACATAAATATAAAAATGTTTACAATATATGGTATGTATGTATTTTATGTAAACGGAAACTGTGCTGTGTGTGTATGTGTCACACGGCAAACATTTGATAATTCACATACATAAATAAGTTATGGATGTATTATTAAATAATTATCCACGTCTAAGTGAGCAATGCCACGACCTCTGACTCGTCTTATCATGTGTGTACAAATTGTGGTCTATAATGGTAATATAATAAATAGATCTTAGTAATCAAACTTTTATACGAGAGATTTATTAGCCAGGGCATCAATATCGATGATGTATTCAACATTTGACGTAAAAGTATTATTTATTAGTGGAGCAAATTAGTCATGTGTTGTTCTGTCGATATCATTATAAATGAAACCATAATAAATGAATAAATTATTTACAATTATAAGTGTAGTTATATGACTGTATCCATACAGTTTTGAATAAATGGACCGCAGGGGTCAATAGTGTTGTAAATGTGAATTGCCGGAAATAAAACCCCAGTATTGCCATATTATATCTCATCCTTATTAAATAAAGTGACGTGATTCGAGAAATGACTTTTGGGAAACTGTCAAAATAGACTGAAATGAAACTATTCTTTTCGGATCGAAAACAAATCAACATTTCGCGCCCTTGACAGATCAGACGGTGACACGGTTGTTGCAATATGTTGTAAAATCGTCGACCAAATCGTGACTAGTCTAATACTAATTGTAGCAGTAGAGGTTTTTGTGAAAGAGTTCGTCCAGGGAGGTACTGCCACCTTACCCATTTCTGCCGCCAAGCAGTAAGGTGAGCATTATTGCGTTTCGCAGGGTAAGAAGTGTGGTGGTGAAATTAGAAGCACAACAGGGTGACGGGCGCAGTAGCAGTGCCACTTAGATCTCTAAGATTTAAAGCTCTGAGCGGCACTGCAACTGTTATGGACGGGCGTGACGCTTACCACCAGCCGCGCACGACTTGTTCGTCCCGTGACTTGATATCACAAAAAACTGGTTGGAAACCACTATATTTCTCACCATAGTTACACAACTCATTAATTTAAATACCTTAGTTTTAATTTACCAAAGTACATTCCAATTCACGCTACATACGTTTTGCAAAATATTTTAAGTATATGAATTTTTACGAAAGAAAATTAATTAATTAAAAGGAAATTGGAAATAAATTAAAACATTTCATTGAGTAGTACAGCCGTCTGCTTGGGAATTTTTTATTTGTTTGAAAGTACAATACAAATAGACGCGATACAGATCAGAAAAAAGATTTCATTTCCAATTTCACCGTCAATAACTCACGCGACACCAGTCATCCTTGGGCTGGAGTTAAATGTAACAAATTTACATGTCGTAGTGAAAACCGACATATTAGTCAGTTATAAAAAAATATTAATTTTTGAATTGTGCCACTTTATTATTGAATGTGTGAATGTGTAAGTGATAAAAAAAGAATACCTGCTAGCGCCTTGATGCGCGATCGTTCGAAAAGCCTCGACGACGAGTTGCCGCCGTCGTACTCGAAGTCATCGATGATCTCCTGGCCGTGGCCAATGGACGGGTCCCACCTGGAGACCGATATGTCGGTCGTCATCTTGACCGACGATGCCTTACCACGCCACGCTCAAAGATCTGCAACATACAATAGCTACAATTAATTCCCTATACATAATAAGCAGAGAACCGAATAGTCCAAAATGTACCATATATCTCTATACTTCAAGGAAGTAATATGCATCGAATGGATAATACCTTCCTCAGAAATCTATCCATACTTTTAGTATGACTAACAATTACTTTAGAAAAATAGTTTTGTAATCAATGCATAGTTATAAAAAAGTCAGTGCTGCCTAGTGAAGACACGGTTGCTGGTTTCGGCAACCGAAAACAGCAATTTTCTTTAATTATTGCCTGTTTGTCTTCTTATGTGTTTGGGCACGCTAATCCCACTGTGGACGGTGGCTGGACCATATTGGATGTAGTTTTCGGGTAAGTATTAAGATAAACTTGGAATAACATTTAGGGCCAGCGCAAACCGGCAGACGGAAAGGCAGGGGACATAAAATTTACCAATGTTTATATGCCACTTCCATTGAAAAAAATAATTTCAATGCTCTGAGACCGACCTCGGAGTTATGCAACGCATTTCTCTCTGCGGTAATAGCATGCTAGAGTATACCACGCCAGGAGGCGCCGGATCCACCAGCACATGCCGGAATCCATCGATATGCGCCGGAGTTTGCCTGAACGCGCCGGTGACTTTTCGCAAGTAGAATCGGTATCAAATCCGAGCGACTGGTGGTATGTCGATGGATAAAGCGACATTTCGGCAGACCCTGCTGTACGCTGGTGGACGCTCGCGGTATCGTAAGAGATATAACTGCATTAGTGTGCGCTGGCGGGCATAAGATCCTCTTCGATGCTATCCTCCGCCGCCCGCCGATTTGCGTTGGCCCTTAGCGTGTGTTTGATAAGATATGTCAATTTTAAAATGTGTGCGAGACATTTTAAATCTGACGCGCCGAACGTGACGTGTGCACAAGCCGGAATGAAGTTATGGAGAAATCCATGGCGCCGATCAAACGATAAAATCGGTGTATCCATAATGCTCCCCAGAAATTTAAGCCCACCAAAAAAGTGTAACGGCACCAGATTTAAAGTGACAAATATACAACGAAACGTGACACAAGTAGAGATCTTAATAGGGCGTGGTACAGGTTAAAAATGCGCAGGGTTAGACGCTGAGAGTGCCCGCTGTGAACCTCAGTATAAGCTGCTTTTCGTTCGGCCAGAACTATGTGGCGCCGTCGCGTGTTCGCAACTCAACAAATCTGTGTGCGTTAATACCCGTTGGCTGTATGTCCAACATTGTATATAGGTATAGAAGTATTACTGAGAGGTATAGTTATGTAGTAATAATCAACCAGAAACTAGCCAGAAACTTTCATTTTATATAATTATAGGACACATAAGCAATACATGTTTGCGCGCATGTAATCGTAGGCCATAAATGTAGATAAATCTGTTTTTTAGATAGTTGTTTCGAAAGCACTTTAGGTCCCAAAGCGCCCTAACTTGAGCTCAATAATCATAAATGTGCCCAAGTCCTTCGAGATTGCATAGCATGGACTGATAAGCAGAAAAGTAGGTGAATTATTCCTTCAATTTGGGTCACGTTGCGGCGCAGCTTAATAAAAACTGAATTGCAAGGCGATATTATTGAAACGATAGTACGCACTTCAAGACACTTTTCGAAAGCTTAAAAATAGAAAATAATCCGATAATCCATGAAGCCATTTCGGAACCGTAACACAATCCTCTCAATTACCTTGATATTTCACTCTGCACAAGCTTAACAATTTTAAATTTTAAAATAACGTGTAAGAGTTATTTTATATAACAAATGTACTGAAATAGCAGCTAAAACAACATTGAAATTGCATGAATGGTATACTAAAGTGGTTTATTATTGGCGGAATGACATCATGCCGGTGTAAGATAAGAGTAAAGATAAGATAGTGGTCAGTATCATATTTATGAGAACAACAATTAAGCCACGCCAAAATTATTGTGTTATTATCAATAACCGTTATGGAGCGACTTGAAATGAATGCAAGACTCGTAAATTTGTGGTGTGATCGACCATGTAGAGCTGCCATGACCGGGTCGGGCTGAAAATCAGAGTTGAAATAATTACAAACTGATTTCAACATTTTCCTGAGCTCGTGTCCGTCACACACATACCTACCTATTCTTATTTAATTTTGATTTAATTGTTTTTATTTTGATTTATTTTAATTATTACTATTAATTAATTTTGTAATTGTATAAAAAACTTTTTTTTTCTCATTTCTGGAAATATTTTTTTTTTTGTTATGTGCGAGGAAATAAATGGTTTAAATCAATCACAAATGAAATTTTTTAAAGCAAAAGACAATCTGTTTCATGTGAAAATTGTGCTTACTCTATTATTTTATCGTGTTCAGTGTGAGAACATTATTTATTACATATTTTATATTATTTAGGTGTTGATATATCTGTCCTTAAATTAATATCGAACATTACAATTACTTTATTACCTCCTAAACGTCATCCATCTGACAAGATGACAGACAGCTGAGTCACTAATGTGGCCTGAACAATGGACAAGGGCGAATACTTCGCAAGGACGACTGGCTACTAGATACTTTATCTAAAAGGTGTTTGTCATTAGTAAATTATAATGGAAGACTTATCCGATACATGAACCGATGATTCAGATTCAGATTAATGTATTTTTCACATATGCACTACATGTCAAAGTATAAGAAATTATATTGAGATAACCAACCAAACATGAAAATTATAAGAAAAATACAAAATAATTAGAAAATTCACTAAATAATATTGTTTTCATTCAATTACATACACATATCATTCTCCATCAAGGGTCGTCATAAGTTGATAACAATTATACAAGAGTATGTCAATGTGGTAAAAATTAGAATAAAATAGAAAATACTCAATATCGTTACAATTTTAGGTCCATAAATTCATTTACAGAGTATAAAGGATTTTTGGCGAAAAGGTCTATCAGCCGGCGCCTAAATGTTTCGTCAGATGGTTCACGTCTGAGAGTGTCGGGTAGACGCTCATAGTAAGTAGGTCCGATGACACGCAGGTTTTTCTCTGCAAGTGCCATGCGTCGGGGGACTGTTCTCAAATGACCGGTACGGCGGAGTGGGATGCCAGAAACATTTATAGTACTAAATGAAGAAAGACTATTTCTGATTGGGCGTCTTGGGGGCTCCACCTACATCTTGGAGCCCAAGCTAACCTCACCTGCAAGTGGTGCGCCTGCTGATAGAAGGACGAGGCTCTAGCGAGGGGTTTTCCCTTTCGGGGGTTGGGAGGTCAGACGGCAGTCGCTCCCGTAAAAACCAACACCGCCACATCAACTTATGGAAGTCAACAGAAGGATATGGCATAGGGATAGGGCGCCGCCGCAAAACGGCGCGCAGGAGCCTCGCCCGACTTCTGTGGCAAGTGGACTAGGGCTACCGTGTCAAGGGTGGGCACGGTTATAGCGGACCCCGGGCTTCGCAGCAACACTGCTGAGGACGCAACCGGGACAACGCTCAGATGAGAGAGAGAGAAGAAAGACTATTTCTAACGTACTTTATAATTTCGTATATGTGAAGTGAGTGGTGCGTCATTATGAGAATATGGGAGTCGCCACACCGAGCTGGTTAGAAAAAGCTTTAAGAGCTAACAACAATAGAGCCCGCTGCGTCTGACACTAACCGGGGATTTGCACTAATGGACCTTATTGCCATTCGGGTTGGCGATTGCAGAAGAGGTATCCTAGAACACGCTTCGGTCCTTTTCCTCATAAATGATCATCACTACTGATAGGTTACTGAACACGGTAGGACTTTTCAAGACAGTAACAAAGTCGGAAATAATTTTTATCCCCTTTCGATAATATAGTAATTCGTCAACATTATTGCAACTTAACATCTAAAGTCATCCTAAAAATACAACTGTACCTACTGGGTTACATTTTTCGATTTTAACTTTGATATCTGTCTAACATTGGGTAATGTAAATTTCACACAATTCGCACCTCTCATGGAAGAATAGCATAAGTGGAGTTATGTCAAACATGTTTATTGCTCCATTAGACACAGAAAAATCTTAACTCACATCCTCTCCATTTCATGTAAGTCTATCTACAATATTAATTGTAGAGGATGTGGGTTATATTTTTCTGTATCCAAAGGAACAATAAACGTGTTCCACTTATGCCGTTCTCCCATGAGGGGTGCGAATTGATTTTCTCTCATTAAGAGGTAGAGTATGAATTTCAAACCAATCTACCTTTGAGTTAGCACTGTTCACATCATCACATCGACATTGGTGCCTTCAACTTTAAATAATAATAATGTCTGAACACAATTTGTATTAATTAAACCTAACGTTGTTTCGTTAAAATTGAGTGACGCTGACGTCTTAAAATGTACTCGTGTGGCAAGTGTCAACAAGGATAACAAAAAGCCACGGGCCGTTATGTTAAACTGAGAAGTGTGCGGTGTTGTGACGAATTGTACTCGGCGGTAGCTCGTTTCAATAAATAGAAGAAGAAGAAGAAAGTTAGTTCATCTGTCTATGTATCTGAACACCTCTCACCCGCAAACAAGGCGCTACACCCGCTGCTAGGGCTTAAGCCAAATAACTCTCATATAAGTTTGTTCGGGTGAGAAATGGTCGGATTTTTATTCGCAAAAATGAAATGGAACTTTATTCTTGTATAGAATAACGAAGTATTGGAACGCTTACAGTAGACAGATATTTTATCGTATCAAGGGATGCTCCACATCCACAAATCTGTGAACTTATGTACATTTCACAAATGAGACTTTTAATAGATGGGTGCAGGTGGACTCATTGTACACTGACTTTTCAAAGGCTCTGTCAAAAAATGCTCCATCTCCGAATCCATGGCTGCCTTCTGCGATGGTTTAAGTCATACCTCGCAAATCGCACTCAGTTGGTAGCGGTATATGGCTATAATTCTCTCCCTCTTGTGTCTACTTCCGGAATTCCTCAAGAATCTAATTTGGGACCGCTACTTTTCGTCGTATTTATTAACG